TACGTTCAAAATTTCATTTATGTATTTTAGTTTGAAAGTAAATAATAAAAACGTATTATGTTAATAAATCGGTTGCAACATTCAATTGGAAATGCTGAGCTGCATCATTCAGTAACGCCAGAGAAGCGCACAAAACATTATTGGTCACCATGGCTTGCATTCTGCAGCGTTAATTAAGAAGGAATAATACAGTATGCAATTTTCTTCCCTTCCATACCGTAAGTACACTTTATAACTAATTTCAACATGCTGTTTATAATCTTACACAGACATTAGAAAACAGTTAGGTCGCAATCTATGGCAATTGTCTTTCCAGAAAGAACAGAAATATAATGTGTCTACACTAAGCGTTGGAAAGGATGTCAGTTCAATGGTAAAACCCGCGAATCGTACCGTTAACGTTAAGACTGTTATCAAAATACGTGGTTTATGTTAGATCGTTTAACACCAGTATACTATCAAAGCTAATCCCGCGAGACATCTGATATTGCCTCCAATTTTATACATGAGATGATGCACTCCTAACTGTCCGGTAATATAAAGAATAGACCTGCGGGGACCCATGGCGTACTTTGAAGTTGATTGCTCTGGGAACTAAGAACTAAGGATTATGTGCTCTCTATATTTGGGAAAACGAAAAAAGAAAAAAAAAAGAAAAAAGAAAAAAAAACAAGAACAGAGTCAGCTTCATATACATTTGTATGGATCCATACTGCAACATTAATAAACGTATTACGTTATGTTTGTACCTAGTATCACATCATGTCGCTACCATGTATCACGTAATCTTACTGCCTTGTATCACGTTATGTTGCTACCTTGTATCACGTCATGTCGCTACCTTGTATCTCGTCATGTCGCTACCTTGTATCACGTAATCTTACTGCCTTGTATCACGTCATGTCGCTACCTTGTATCACGTCATGTCGCTGCATTGTATCACGTCATGTCACTAACTTGTATCTCGTCATGTCGCTACCTTGTATCACGTCATGTCGCTACCTTGTATCTCGTCATGTCGCTACCTTGTATCACGTCATGTCGCTACCTTGTATCTCGTAATCTTACTGCCTTGTATCACGTCATGTCGCTACCTTGTATCACGTCATGTCGCTACCTTGTATCACGTCATGTCGCTACCTTGTATCTCGTAATCTTACTGCCTTGTATCACGTCATGTCGCTACCTTGTATCTCGTAATCTTACTGCCTTGTATCACGTCATGTCGCTACCTTGTATCACGTCATGTCGCTACCTTGTATCTCGTAATCTTACTGCCTTGTATCACGTCATGTCGCTACCTTGTATCACGTCATGTCGCTACCTTGTATCACCTCATGTCGCTACCTTGTATCACGTCATGTCGCTGCCTTGTATCACGTCATGTCGCTACCTTGTATCTCGTAATCTTACTGCCTTGTATCACGCCATGTCGCTACCTTGTATCACGTCATGTCGCTACCTTGTATCTCGTCATGTCGCTACCTTGTATCACGTCATGTCGCTACCTTGTATCTCGTAATCTTACTGCCTTGTATCACGTCATGTCGCTACCTTTTATCACGTCATGTCGCTACCTTGTATCACGTCATGTCGCTACCTTGTATCTCGTAAGCTTACTACCTTGTATCACGTAATATTGCTGCCTTGTGTTACGTAATCTTGCTGCCTTGTATCACGTCATGTCGCTACCTTGTATCACGTCATGTCTCTACCTTACCACGTAATCTTACTAACTTGTATCACGTCATGTCGCTACCTTGTATCATGTCATGTTGCTACCTTGTATCACGTAATCTTGTATCACGTCATGTTGCTACCTTGTATCACGTCATGTCGCTACCTTGTATCACCTCATGTCGCTACCTTGTATCTCGTCATGTCGCTACCTTGTATCTCGTCATGTCGCTACCTTGTATCACGTCATGTCGCTACCTTGTATCACGTCATGTCGCTACCTTGTATCACGTAATCTTGTATGAGTCGATAACGGTATTTTCAAATATAATTGGATAACGTGCCATAAAGTAACACACCAACATTCCTCTCGGTGTAGTAGGTGCTAGAATATGTTTTACTGTCATACTCAGGAAGGATTAATAAAAACAATCGCCACACATGGAAGGACTTCACATTTTACCAACGGATCAGACTTACCTTATATACTTGAGGGGAGGACAAACATTTACTTTTGAAAAGGGATGTTGTTACGAATTCTACATCTTCATATATACTTTTTCTGTTTGTTAAATAACATTGTTGGCATGCATCACTATCGATAATTAAAAAATTGTATGCATTAGTTTTCCTCGGATCTGAAGTACTTGTGTGGTTTCAAGCTAACTGAGTCTATATCTTTCTACAGTCAATATGTGGTCACCTGCTTGTTACAAATTATCGAGTTTCGTGTGATGTTCGATAAACAATGGTAAAGTCACCTACGAACTAGCCACACATTTCCCTCGACATGTAAATTGAATTAGACAGTAAATCGATTTTGTTAAGTCAGGACATACATTTTTACTGGTATAAAACAATGTCATACTCGAATTGGGCCAGCTGTGTTTTCATTAGTATTATTTAATGCCTTATCTATTTGTGAAGTAATATGTTAAAATCAATACTCTGTGTATTCTGTTATTCGCGTACATACCACAAGTATAAAGACCCGTGAAGTATATGCCAGACCTTTAAAACATTGAAATTCTCAAGCTGTTTTCAATCTCCATATTACACCGACATGACATACATCTGATGAGGACGGACTTGTATTATTCAACGACATGAAAAAATCTTCACGTGGTGTTTCAGTATATATGTACATCATACATACGAAATATATCAAAAATTAATACCTGTTTAACATATGAAATATATACCTGCGATCACGTAATATGTAAATGTACATGTAAAACACTCCATAATGAGAGGCTCATCTGATAATGTTTTTATATCTGTTATTTGCCTATGGAAATGTAACGCTCTAAGATATAAAAATGTACCGTCTCTCATTAATGTAATATATAGAAAATGTACGCCTTAATTATGTAATATATAGAAATATGCACCCTCAATAATGTAATATATAGAAAATTTACACCATTAATAATGTAATATAAAGAAAATATATGCCCTCAATAATGTAATATAAAGAAAATATATGCCCTCAATAATGTAATATATAGAAAATATATGCCTCAATAATGTAATATATAGAAAATGTATGCCTCAATAATGTAATATACAGAAATGTATGCCTCAATCATGTAATATAAAGAAAATATATGCCCTCAATAATGTAATATATAGAAAATGTATGCCTCAATCATGTAATATATGAAAATGTATGCCTCAATCATGTAATATATAGAATGTAGAATCATGTAATATACAGAAAATGTATGCCTCAATAGTGTAATACATAGAAAATATATGCCCTCAATAATGTAATATATAGAAATTGTATGCCCTGAATAATGTTATATATGAAAAATACATGTAATATACAGAAAATGTATGCCTCAATAATGTAATACCTAGAAAATATATGCCCTCAATAATGTAATATATAGAAAATGTATGCCCTGTATAATGTAATATATAGAAAATGTATGCCCTGAATCATGTAATATACAGAAATGTACGCCTCAATAATGTAATATATAGAAAATGTATGCCCTGAATCATGTAATATACAGAAAATGTATGCCTCAATAATGTAATACATAGAAAATATATGCCCTCAATAATGTAATATATAGAAAATGTATGCCCTGTATAATGTAATATATAGAAAATGTATGCCCTGAATCATGTAATATACAGAAATGTACGCCTAAATAATGTAATATATAGAAAATGTATACCCTGTATAATGTAATATATAGAAATGTATACCCTGTATAATGTAATATATAGAAATGTATACCCTGTATAATGTAATATATAGAAATGTATACCCTGTATAATGTAATATATAGAAAATGTATGCCCTGAATAATGTTATATATAGAAATGTACGCCTCAATATTGTAATATATAGAAATGTACGCCTAAATAATGTAATATATAGAAAATGTATGCCCTGAATAATGTAATATACAGAAATGTACGCCTCAATAATGTAATATATGGAAAATGTACGTCATCAACACTGAAATATACAGAAATGTTATTCATGTCTATAACCTATACTTCATCTTTGAAGTTTGAATTTACATCAAAAACGTAAATAGATCCGACTGATTTCTGATGCAGTGATGAATGGTATGGCGATACTATAAGACATTCTTTACACGTTGTGGGGTATTGTATTACATGTAATACAAGTTCCATCAACAGATGGCATAATAAACTTTCTGAAGAAAACAAGAACATACAAATTATTATAACGCCAGGGAGATGGTATACTTTTCTCGAGTGCACGTGCGGAAGGCAGACACGAGAACTACATTGTACATGTACGGAAATTACGTGCTTTTTCCGACTGAATTTTTGACTGTACATGCAGGGTATGAATTAACCACAATGACCCGTTACACAGGTCGGCTAATTTGGAGGCAACATATGGGTAATATGTCGGTGGTAGTGTGTATACAGCTAGGAAAGTACTTGAAACCGACATACTAACACGATTAAAACGAAAGCAGTGTCCATACACAAACTATCATGTGTGTGTGTGTGTGTAATTTAGTGTCGATAAGAGTATAGCCACAGGACACGTGTTTCTAAACATTGTATAGAAGGAAGAACTATTGATCAATGTGATCTCCCCTCCCCACGGGTATTATAAGCTGTGGGATATATTCCTTGTCCGTCACTTCATTACGGTTGACGTGGCTGTCACGCACAGTAGTTGAACGTCATTAAGGCTTCCAGAAAAAAACCTCGATTGACATATAAACAACTTCTGTTACGAAAGATTTTCTCTCGTGTGTGCAGGGTTATACAGCAATGCAAATGTTTACGAATCATTTAAATATTAAACATGCTGTTCTTACCTTATAGTGCAGTGAGATGTAAAATGATCCCCGGTGAAATCGCCTCAAGTGTCGATCCGTCAGTAAGACGTATAACGGCAATGGCACGCTAGTCCGGAAACCTGTTAAACACATACAATGATCTGCCTACAACTAGCACTATACAATGGATCATAGGCTAATATATGCTTAGGTAAAAAATCAAACAATATCTCCGTGTCAACAAACCTGCCTTCTCCACTACGTACACCTTCCAAAGTGATTGTGGGGCGCACTTATCAGCTGGCCACAACACTTCACCGCCAGTTCGCACGCAGCACTTTAAATCGGCCCTGTCCACTAGATGTATTTTACATATAGTGATTTTGAGTTGTGAATGAACTGCTAGCACACAGGAGATCTAGAGAATACTTTAGTCTTATCAGCTACATCATGTCCATTCCACTGGGACACTATCGGTACATTCTTACCGTGTAGACGTTTAATATTGGAAATGATACATATATATGCTGGGATGATTAATTCGGAAGGCCTAACACTGACAATGAGTGATGTGAGTGTGTTGTTTTGCCTGTGTAATAACTGACATAATATAGATAGCTCTCTCCCATTTAGTATAGAGTATAACTAACGTTATCGTCATTTGTAGGTAAATTTGAACAGCATGTCACCCGAATGTAAGCGAAAATGTCAACGAAATGGTTTACACGTGTAGGAAAGTTGATTAGATTCTGACATTTTGGAAACTGTACATGATATATCTAATTATTTCGAATCGTTGTTGCCTTTTTAGCGTCATCCTTAGCGTCAATGGAAGTATTTTGTTGCTTAATATTTCTTTGTAAAGAAATAATCAGACATTGCTTTGTTCTTATCTGTCGAGTTTGTATTATCAATTTCCTTCCTTGTCTGGCTGTGTGATTGCTTCTACTCTGTAAATCATTCAGATAAATAAAGATAATAATATACATTCACGTTACAAATCACATAAAACAGTGATACAGTCACTATTGCTATTACAGCATAAACAGCAATCACGTGTAACAAACAAATGTAAAATCAATTTGAACATATCGCATAGCTTCACTAACTTTTAAATCCAAACATATTCACTTAAAATGCACGAACTACACCGTGGATCAAAGGGGATTACGTGAAAGAGATATAAAGTACTCAAGTTGTAAGTTCTACGGTCGATGTTTCAGTATTTACTATTGCGCGCGTGCACAGTAACATAACAATGTAAGATTTCAATGACAAACCAGCGCTCCATTACAGTGTGTTGCAGGGTACGGACAGGTATTTAAAGATATAATGTATCATTTAGATGTATAATATGTTGTTTTCCAGTATATACATTGTCCTATTTTTCAGTGTACATTGTGTTATTTTATAGTGTAATTTTTGTGTATATTGTGATATTTACCTGTTTACATGTTTATTGCAATTTTTCAGTGTTATTTCTGTAGTGTATATATTGTGCTATTTTCAGTATATAATGTGATATTTTCCCGTGTATATATTGTGCTATTTTCAGTATATGTTGTGATATTTCCCCGTCTTTATGATGTGTTATGTTCTGTATAAATTTTGATATTTCCCCGTGTATATATTGTGCTATTTACATAAAAACATCTACCTTAACTTTTTATTACGCAGTAGCCTGTTATTATTTACAAAAAATATTCATAATGAGGGTGTTATATATATCAGCCTGACCGTAGTATCTTTCAATGAACTTTTAACCAATTAGTGATAAGGATTACAATGCAAGACAGTTTTGTCTGTCAAAGTTTTCCATCGTGTGATATATGTCTTTCCGTAGTATGGTATTTTCTATATTGCTTTTAATTGTTTGGCATATACTTTCTCGTGGTATGGTATATTCCTTCTCGTGGTATGGTATATTCCTTCTCGTGGTATGGTATATTCCTTCTCGTGGTATGGTATATTCCTTCTCGTGGTATGGTATATTCCTTCTCGTGGTATGGTATATTCCTACTCGTGGTGTGATATATTCTTTTTCGTTGTGTGGTATCTCGTGGTTCAGTATATATATAATCTCGGTATGATATATCCCTCCCTTTGATGATATGGCGTAATCCTTTTCGTGGTCTGATGTCATTCTTTTCCGTGCTGTGATATATTTTTTCTGTGGTTAAATATATACATCATCTCGGTATGATATATTCTTTCCCGTGGTTTATTATATTGCTTTTCGTGGTTTAGTATATATCTTTTCGTCGATTTCAAATCCAGAAAACGTCACAATAAACCGACCCACAAGAAATAAAACATAGTTATAACAACGCAGTAGCAATGGGTATGGTCAACTCATAGATTTAAAAAGATTTCAAAACCGCTAAATTTATCAATCTTTTTGGTTTTTATTTACTTATTTTTTTTTTTTTTTAATTTTTAAAAATCAATTATCCGAAGTTCGATATACATATGAAACTGAGCTCATGACTTGCGAAATCTTTTTAGTTATCATTACAATGTAAAGAAGCGTACACTTCTGTTTGAAGGTGGCACGAGCGTCTGTGATGGAATAACTTAGAACTTTAGCTAAGGTGATACATGGGCATGTAGTGGGTAGCGTTCGTTGTAGGAAGTAGGCGCTTACGGATTGACGTGTAATCTCACCGCCGTCTCGTAAGAAATGTAGTGCATGGGTTGTACTATGTCTGAAATGAAGGTTATCATTGAAACATTGTGATTGAAGCACAAAAAATCATACTAAATGTGAAGATTTTAAGATTGGAGGGTACAGAGAAAGCAAAACCAGCTGATGTAGTCACTAACTTAGTACAAGTGTAATAGCAACTGAAAATAACTTTCGATAAATCATACCATACGTTTATTTCTATGGGTGTCAAAATATCCATCTAGAAAAAGTTTCTCGTAGTCTGTAAGCCTAAGACGATGTTCGATGATTGAAAGCTGGTAGCGCCTAACCATAAAATAAAATACTACCAGTTATAAGAGGAATGCCGCCACTTCCTCCAACATGGAGAAAAAGAACACCGTGCGAGAAGCGTGATTATATCGATATGTCTAATGGGAATTTAACATTTTTATATAGCAGCATACCTGCTTACCCAACCTTAAGTATTTGCATGCTTTCGTGTGTTCAGAAGAACAAAAATTGAGTATTTTTCTTGAAGTATAACTGTCTTCTACTTGCCTTTTAGTAATCGTCATGTTTATAACAACAATTGTGAATAAAAGATTGGCTATATAGTTTTCTAGGATCTTGCTAACTAGCACTCGTCATCGTGAAGTCATATTTGATAGGATTCACATGTTAATGTTTTAAGAGCCCAATACTTTTTTAAACTTGATATTGAGAATATCAACATTTAGATGTGTGATTATTTTTGGGCAGATTTTCTGATATTTTTTACATTCTAATGTGTGTAGGGACAATGGTCTGTTGAGTGATCTGTTACAATAAAATTCATATTGAGATACGAGATTAACACATTTAGTAGCTAGATTGATGTTTACATTTGTCTATTTGAAGTAAGAGCAGGACTCTTTCCATGACAACTTCTTCAAAATATTTATAACGGGCAAGTCGACCGCAGTACATTATCAACATGGCTGTTGGGTACGACATTAACTTTGGACCCGTTTACATATTGTTTATCAAGAACATCCAATGAGATACAAGTCAGTGATGTTGACGGTCACACGTGATTTATCTCTTTGTTTAGTATAAACAAAGACCAATTCTCTATATGAAACATGAAATTCTCCCTCATTTGTCTTACTCCGATTCGGTGAAAATCAATGCCTAATTTCTGTATAGTTTATGTTTCTGTCGAACATTTTGACAGAAAGAATCCATAAAATGTTACATAATCTGTATGTGTCTGGGCGATGGTAAACGAAGCTAAAAATATTAGACTCTCGAAAATTTATCACATTATTGCACACACCTTGTGATAATTTTGACTGTTTGTGAATGGTATCAGGTAACCACATACCACTAATCCTCACATTGTGAAGCAGACTGATTGTCTCTTTTGTGATGGATATAAATTTCTGTTGCAGATTAAACTGTTTACTTGTAGCTATTTTCTGAACGCATGAGGCTTCATGTTAGTGAGGGTTACTCCTGTTTTACACTCAATATTTTACAAAAATGAACATCTCGTTGGTAAGTTACTGTGTACCTAAAACATGCAGCATTCCATATATATATATGACAGACTATCATCATGGTTTCTGTATACACTGCATTCTGTAAACTGGAGCAAGGTGACCCAGACATTGCCAATCCATATTACTAGTTAAAAAGATTAACTTCGCAGCTGAAGCGGAAATATGGAGATTTATTTTTTTTTCTATCTGTGAAATAATGTTAAATGTTGTGATTAATTAAGTCTTTTTCTACAGCTTCCTACGTGATGTAGGATACGCTTTCCATAGAACATTTATGTCAATCGTCGAGGTGTAGGGTAAGTTTTCTCTAGAATATTTATGTCATCTTTCGTTATTTAGGGTAAGCTTTCCATGAAACATCTTTGTCATCCGTTGTGATGTAAGGTCAGCTTTCCAAAGAACCTTTATGTCATCCGTCAAGATGTAGTGTAATCTTTTCTCTGGAACATTGATGCCATCCTTCCTGATGTAGGTTAAGCTTTTCCTAGAACGTTGATGCCATCCTTCGTGATGTGGGTTAAGATTTCCCTTGAATATTGATGCCATCCTTCGTGATGTAGGGTAAGCTTTCCCTAGAACTTTGATGCCATCCTTCGTGATGTAGGGTAAGCTTTCCCTAGAACATTGATGCCATCCTTCGTGATGTAGGGTAAGCTTTCCCTAGAGCATTGATGCCATCCTTCGTGATTTAGGTTAGGATTTCCCTAGAACATTGATGCCATCCTTCGTGATGTCGGTAAAGATTTCCCTAGAACATTGATGCCATCCTACGTGATGTAGGTTAAGTTTTTCCTAGAACGTTGATGCCATCCTTCGTGATGTGGGTTAAGATTTCCCTAGAATATTGATGCCATCCTTCGTGATGTAGGGTAAGCTTTCCCTAGAACTTTGATGCCATCCTTCGTGATGTAGGGTAAGCTTTCCCTAGAACATTGATGCCATCCTTCGTGATGTAGGGTAAGCTTTCCCTAGAATATTGATGCCATCCTTCGTGAAGTCCCTAGAATATTGATGCCATCCTTCGTGATGTAGGGTAAGCTTTCCCTAGAGCATTGATGCCATCCTTCGTGATTTAGGTTAGGATTTCCCTAGAATATTGATGCCATCCTTCGTGATGTCGGTAAAGATTTCCCTAGAACATTGATGCCATCTTTCGTGATGTAGGGTAAGCTTTCCCTAGAGCATTGATGCCATCCTTCATGATTTAGGTTAGGATTTCCCTAGAACATTGATGCCATCCTTCGTGATGTCGGTAAAGATTTCTCTAGAACATTGATGCCATCCTTCGTGATGCAGGTAAAGATTTCTCTAGAACATTGATGCCATCCTTCGTGATGTAGGGTAAGCTTCCCCTAAAACATTGATGCCATCCTCTGTGATTTAGGGTAAGCTTTCCATGAAACATCTTTGTCATCTGTTGTGATGTAGGGTAAGCTTTTCCAAGAACATTTCTGTCTTCCGTCGTGATGCAGGTTAACTTTTCCCTAAAATATTTGTTTCCGTCGTGATGTAGGGTAAGCTTTCCCAAGAACATTTATGTCATCCGTCGTGATGTATGTTAAACTTTCCTCAGAATATATCTGGTGTCTACAACAAACAGTGATGTGGGAACCTTTGTAATTTGGCGTAAGCTCTCCTTAGAACATTTAACTCATCCGTCGTGATGTAGGGTAAGCGAAATTACAAATTGAAAAAAAGTTTCCAGAAATATTTGCAACATTTCTTCGTTATGTAATGAGCATGATATAATGTAAATTAAGTCAGGTTTTAAAATTGGACCTTATATATGAGTTTCTGATCGCCTTATTTTGACCAGGTCTGTTGGAAATATTTGAAATGCTTGTTTGTCAACTTGTCAAGAATTCAGCGGAAGAGAGACACAGTCGAGCAGTGCCTTCTGGTTTAACTGACGACTCTTCATTTATACTACGGGCGATAAGCGGTGTTGAAATCGTGAAATGTTTATATTTACACGGAAAACGGAAATGCGCCTGTCCCATAACACAGAATAGTATGGAGGCATGTTGAAATAGGCATCATAGACGTAATCTATTTACACTGTATTTGCACCTGTAATAAAACGTTTCCGTCTTCCGAAGATGACATTTACGCCACCATTTTCACACGATTAATAAGCCATCTTACCATTATCTATACAGGCAATAGAGTAAGTCATCATTATTCAAACTGTTCACACATAAATAAGCCATTTCACCATTTTCCATACAGGTAACAAGCCACGTCATTCACATAAGTAATTACCTACATCATTATCATTAACACAGGTTTTAAAAAAAATAACATGTTAGTGATTATACCTCAACTTTGTAAGACTTCAGGGCTGTACTTTGAAAACAATTCGCCTGATCACTACGAAACTGAATACCTGTCAGGCTAATGCCTTAGTTGTACCTTTTGCTATTGGCGAATTTCAGTTTTGATATTTTCTCTGTGTTATGGAAACAAAAGAAAAGAAATAAACAGCGTATTGTCGACTTGAAAACTGATCGCAACGAAACTTTTACTTTGCCGTTTGCTATTGGCGAGGTTTCTTTCTTCCTATTTCCCTGCAATTGTATAAGTAAAAGTCAGAAATATATTTACTAGTTGCACCTCAAAAACTATATAACTGACAGAAAAGTGACCACAAGCTTCATATATCCATCTTAAAACCTTACTCTTACTTTTAGGAGGACATATATATGGCGCGGGGATGAAGTCACGCTTTCCGGATCTTTGTCAGTTTTCTTGTAATTTTGTGTATTTCTAATTATCCTCGCTCAAAGCGTTTGCGAGGGTGATATTTATTTGGGCTCCGTGTTTGCGTGCGTCCATCCGAGGACTTTTCCGGGCAACAATTTCGAAAACATTCCACTCAACACCACAAAGCTTTCTATATATATTAGGTTAGTGCCCTAGTTGTGCCTTTTGCTATTGACGACATTTCATCTTTTATATATTTTTCTGTTGCCAGTGGGCGCGGGGGATCATGTTACGCTTTGCGTTATCTTGTTGAATAATGTCGCTGTATCAGAACATGCCTTCTATGCCTTATCAATCTGATATTGCATTTATCAAACAAAAAGTGTCCAGTCTAAGCACTATCTGGTTTACGTTATTGTTATTTTTATCGATTGTAAAGGTATTGCCTAAACTGCGGGCGTCTTGTACTGCCCGGTGGTTGAGGCTTGAAGAGTTATCCTCCCTCTTCACGTCTTGCTTGACTTTTATCTCTTATATACAGTAATATATGTGATAACATGGAGTACGATTTTCGCAGTTTTTCTCTGGACAATTCGTTATAACTGACGTTGTCAAATTCACTGTTATCTGCACATTTAAGGTAATTTCTTGCGAAATGAACCACTAATATGTGAGTGGACGAGAATTAACCGGAACGTGTCATGCCTATACAATGATATATTCTGTCTAATACGCAGTGTACAATCATCGCTAGTTTCCTGTCACGTATGACAGTCGGCTTACGACAAAATCAATCAGCTGAATGGAGAATATTGATAACTGCCCTGGTTGAATGACCAAGTACTTTTATAACTATGTTTATTGCATTGATTGGTGTAAAACGAAACAACTATTGAGTGACAGATTAACGTGGTCAGTGTTATTTGGTTTTCTTAAAACTATATCGAGAAATTATGTGTCGAGTACACACTCCATTTGTAATGTTGAACTTAAGTTAAAAGTTTTACGTGAAAAGGTATTTTTTATAACAAATTAAAACATCACATCAGATCGTGGCGCTGTTCTCGTATGCGAGAAACTGATCGTATTTAAATCGGAATCATAACAAACTGATCGCAACAGATGTTGAAATCACGTGATCTTGAATTTTAACATATAAGGTAGAAATAATAGCCATATTGATTTGCTATTTTACTTCATAGCAAGTTTTCAGGAAAGTGCAATGCGTCCACTGTTAGCTAATGCCATGTCATACCATATATCGACCGGAGATGGGGGAACTCTTTCTCTCTGTATGTCAGTCTCCAAGAAATTTCTCATATTCTGATATCACTCGTAATAGACGTAATGACACAGTATTGTAACATCGCACGCCCATAAGCATGGCCGATTTCTTTACCAAATAGCTCCACACTGCCTTGTGAGACATGAAGCTGTACATGATTGGTGCAAGTTAGTGTGCCTTCTGATTCTGTTGTTGTTTGTCTTGTTCTCGTTTGGGAACGTGACATTACTTACACGGATTGACCAAAATTACGTGGCGGCTGTCGTTGATGAAGCAAAAGATGCATTCCTTTCTTTCTCTTGTTTATTTTTTACCTTAGTGTCAACGAATTGGTGTTTGAATTAGGATTCTGTTAACATATCGGTTTGTCTTTACTGTGTGTACATACAAGTGATACATACTAACTAGGATTGGCTCCAATATTGCTTCACACCACAGAGTTTTTTCAATAAATGACACGTTGAATGTAAAATGATCCAATGTGTTTGTCAATGATTGTGCAAAAGAGACACAAATGATTATCACCTTTCGATACAAATTTAGAATTAAATACAGTGGAGTCAAATAATTGAGCTGCATGATACAGCTGCTTCGTTCTTTTAGAACACGTTAGTGGTGTTAAGGGCCTAATTATTTGAAACCTAGGAGACAAGTGAGGGAAATCGACATGGACCGCATGAAATGTTAAAAACTAGACGGGAACGTGCACAAACCTCATAATTCACTAAAATTAATAAAATAAATAAGTGATGCTATTATCTGGTATTATTATGATCAGGGATAAGATGATCAAATTTCGTTAAAATAATATTTTGATTTTCATAGATTTCTAAATTACTGATAAGATTATTATCAACCAAAGTGAATTGCGATTTATAAACCAAACATTCGAAGAAATTAGGAGATAAAATTTATTCCAGCCATTTTTGCGTTTTGTTTTCTCATACTGTGACTATGGAAAATTTACTTTAGTCGCATTTTGATATCATTAAAATAAGTTTACCACACCGTTTTCAGTTAGGTTACTACTTGGTCACTATTTGTTGTTTTTGTGATTTATATCGATGACCACTGAAGCGTCCGGTTGTTATCACAAAATTCTAACATGTCGCCATATTTTGTGTGTACATTCCTACAGCACAGCTTGTTACAAAAGTAAATGAGCTGAACAGTAGGTTTCAGAAATGATCAGAAAAATATGTCCAACCAGCAATGAAGCATGCGTCATCTCATAGGATTGTTGGCCCTACCCCGGATAAACAACACCTTTCTCCTATATTCAGTGGAGGTAATACATGGACAGGAAAGTAAACGTCACTGGCCAGGTGGTGGTTACCATTGCAACCCCGGAGTCTGTAATACATAAACCAATTAAACAAATAAAATACTCCCTAAAAAGGCGAGAAAACAAACACTGTATTTGATTGTTCATCAATTACAGATTCTAAAATTTGACTAACTTATGGAAATAGGATTTAATTACACAGAACGGGTTTGTAAAATTATTAAACACAGACTACCAATAAAGAAGATTCCCTAAGATATCGGTATGTTTAAAAGTTAAAATAGTTTTTAATTCTGATGGTTCAGAAGTTGTGAAAAACAATACAGTTTTTCTTGTTTTCATTTGAAAGAAATAGACATAGCTGACTACTCTGTTAATTTGCTTATGGTTTGAAAGAGCTATGTATAGTATTATGGCGCTTCATTTAAAACAATCGGATTGGTAAACTACGTACCTAAGGCGCTCGAGTCAGGACAGAGCTACGGACCTAAGGCGCTCGAATCAGGACCGAACTACGTACATAAGGCGCTCGAATCAGGACAGAGCTACATACCTAAGGCGCTCGAATCAGGACAGAACTATGTACCTAAGGCGCTCAAATCAGGACAGAGCTACGGACCTAAGGCGCTCGAATCTGGACAGAGCTACGTACCTATGGCGCTCGAATAAGGACAGAGCTACGAACCTATGGCGCTCGAATCTGGACAGAGCTACGGACCTAAGGCGCTCAAATAAGGATCGAGCTACGTACCTATGGCGCTCGAATCAGGACCGAACTACGTGCCTGAAGCGCTCGAATCAGGACAGAACTACGTACCTAAGACGCTCGAATCAGGACAGAACTACGTACCTAAGACGCTCGAATCTGGACAGAACTACGTACCTAAGACGCTCGAATCAGGACAGAACTACGTACCTGAAGCGCTCGAATCTGGACCGAACTACGTACCTAAGACGCTTGAATCAGGACAGAACTACGTACCTGAAGCGCTTGAATCTGAACCGAACTACGTACCTAAGACGCTTGAATCAGGACAGAACTACGTACCTGAAGCGCTCGAATCTGGACCGAACTACGTACCTAAGACGCTTGAATCAGGACAGAACTACGTACCTAAGACGCTTGAATCAGGACAGAACTACGTACCTGAAGCGCTCCAGTTAATGGATGCCACTGTGGACAAAGCATTCAGTTGGGATGACGTCAGTTTTGACCTTTGCGTGCTTGTGGTGGACTGAGCCTGCGCAGGACTGAATGTGTTGATTTGGCTCACAGTGAAACCCTGTAACAGTATTTCGTTAAAATATAGAATTGTGATACATTACCACTGGATTTATAAGTAATACATACCGTCTTAAATAAAAACAAATAATAAAATGTCATATGTGATGTATTTTTAAAACTTACAGTATCAAAACATATCTTAAATCTCAGGACAGTGTATGTGACGGCGTATCTAACCAGACTGAATTATATAAGTACAGAGAGTAAAAGTACTGTTGCAAAAATAACGCTGACAAGAAGTTTTTTTCCACGAAGAAAACATCTTCTTAGGTATGATTGCTATTGTCTTGATCATTCATTTATTAATTCAGGAGCGATATAAAATTCCCGAGGAATGTGGTTTGACATTACTTGTTTCAGATTTATTTGAATATGACACAAAGTCAATGAGACAGACGCAATTATAGCATTTACTAGTACATGTGTTAAAAAGCTAAACATTTATCCCTAGATGAATTCTTCATTACAGCTGAAACTACTCTCTGGAAATATTGTTTATCAGAAAAGTCATTCATAATAAATATCTAAAACTGTCTGCCTTTTGTATATAAAACATCTCATCTTAAATGAACTGATAACGATGAACTGTCAACTAAAAGAATCATAAATAAAGAAAACGAATATGACGAATGCTAAGAGGTCACGAAGGTCAGAATTTATTCTTCAGTATTTGTTTTTGCCTCGACTGTTTTCAGAATGTTGCCTATTTTAACTGTTTGTAATAGCACCAGTTTGGGAGTGGTGACATTTTAGAGCGATTACTGAAATGGATTAGTTTAATTAAATCATGTTCAATACACATTTAAAGTAACACGTTACCGAGAAGATAGTGTCCGAGATGTAAGTCACGTGATTGGGATCTATTGCGTCGATCTGGAGCGCTGTCAGTCTGCCGATCTCACCTGTACTCAACCCACCTGTTATTGAAGCATACTACAAGATATACAAGGTTTGTTATACTGTACTGAAATCAAAACCGTATGAAATAACATCGTCAATAGGAAACAGAATAGGACGTATGATGAATGAACAATTATCAATAATCTCAAAGTCATAAAGACCGAAGTCACTAGTTAACTTGATATTTCGATAATAACCAATGCTTGTTCCGATGTTGGTGATCACTGTTGAATCCCATGCCGTGACGTCACTTCCGTAAGCAGTTTTAGCCAGGATGACAAACGCCTGGAGTTGACTCTTCTCACAACTCGTCAGCTCCCCAATGGAATCTACAGCACCTCTGTCAGGTTAACATAATACATGTTTACTACATAACAACTACATGAGTATGGCGTCACATTTAATGTTTACGTGAGCTATTAATTAGAGAAGATCTACATCAAAGTCAATAGAGAAGTAGATATAATACAGAAAACAACAATTTATAGATCCGATTGTTATATATTAACGTGTACATAATATCAAATAAAATAATATCAAGGAGGTGAATAAATGAGCAAGCGAAATAACTTGACACTTATATTGAATGCCTAAAAACCGTATGGTAACGTCTCATGATATTCCCTTGACCTGTAAATTGCGTTACTGTAAACAACATTTACGCACTAGGCCCTATTTTCATAAACGGTCCCTAGTTTAAGGAAAATGACAAATTTACGTTCGCTTATAAAAGAGCAGCTAAGTATATATTTAAAAAAAGATAGAACGGTATTTTTAATGAACGTTTGCAAAGATATATGATAATCCTTTTTAAAGACAAATTTTCGCCTAAACGTTGTAAAGGTTAAAGGTCAGGATTGAACAATCGCCAATACATAATTAGGGTTAACATTAAATTATGTTAAAAGTTCATAGCTTATGAATACAATTTGATTATTGGAAGTGACGACCATTAGCATAACGTCGTGAGCTCAAAAATCAGGACAAATAACGTATTCAATATTAAATGAGGTTTTAAAGTTTGATCAGGTATAACTCTAACGTGGACAACGACGTTTCCGATCAGAATATTCTTTGTATTTATGAAAATAAGAAATCCATACCAATTTGAAAATTATCATTTTGCTGTTGTATTACGACATATCCTGTACAAAAATACTCGTGAATAAATGCCATGATGATTTGATCGTACGTACTGGTAAATAGAGACCGGTATATTGTTGATTTGACTGGTGTCGGCACCACATATGATGTGTCCTAGTGATCTCAGCTCGCTGGACGTGATCGTGCTACTGTCTGCGGACTTATGCAAACTTAACCACCGGTCAAATACTGCCTTTTTCTACAAAACATTACATAAAAAGGCATCATCAAAATGTTTAAATAGTATATCAATATTTCAGTGAATTGAGAACTGTATATATCTGTTATATATGTATAGATATGTGGTATTAACTTAATGAAGTGTAATGCTCAGTTTCCGCAGTAGCAAGATATAGAATGCGGGAATGGATAGAGATCTGGTCAAATGGACAAGTACGAATTGAAATAGTCTCTTTGCACCTTCCATAGAGAACGGATTAATGTTTCCAAAGTGATAACCTACCTTTAAAGTGTCCCAGCCGTCAAACTGTCCGAGACGACTGACAGTGTCTAAGTCCAGGTTCAGGGTAGTAATCTGTTCTGGGGTCATAGCCTGGCATACTACACCTGCGGCGTATATATCTGTGGGTAACCAGCTGGACGGATCACCCCAAACCTTCATCAGGTTAATGTAAAAAAAAAAGACACGCATTAGAATTACATCTATCAAACAGATTTAGAATTGTAGAGTCAAATAATGATTACAGCTTTTTCATCCTTTAGGACTTGTCAGAGATGATAAGGGTCTGAATTTGGAAACATAGGAGGCGACTACGGGAAATCCAGATACAAGGTACAAATTAATCCAAAAACATACCTGGAACCTCACCAACTCCGTATTCAAATAATCTCATAACTTTACATATGTGATTGTTGTGTATGTTTTGAAAATATAGCGGAATAGATACTAGAATGTCATTTGTGAAATCTCATTGAGAGCTACACACTTGTCATTTCATTATTAAGAATTTTGCGAAACGTTTACACTTTTATAATAAAACAATAAATTATTTCATATGATTATTTGTATGATGACAATTGGGGCTATACTATTTAGGCTGCTCTCGGATTTGACGCAATTTCTGTTTCAGATTACGACAATTAAATGTAAATAACATTATCAAACTGTTACCGGATGGTAGTGGACAATTAAATAAATAAATGTTACCTGTTAAACATGTTTGTCATTCAGGTATCATGGCTTATAAATAACAACAGAATGAAAGACCCATCATCAATATTCACTGCAGTATTAACACACTATACCATATTTTCTAATGTATAATCCCTGACAAAATATATACATTATGTCAATAACGTGTTTGCTAATACCGTTCCTCTGGTAGCAACTGCAAGGAGAGCGTCTTTTTGTGCTGTGGTGTAGTCTGTGACCGAACCTAAGGTCTCTGTACAATCAATAAACTCCTGGTCATCAAGGTTTGAGATCTGAGTAATAGTCAGTGCTGACAGTCCAGTAGTACCAAGCAATTGCATGTCCGTACATGTAAGTGAGGCTGTTGATAAATGAAAAATACTAGTTCGTGTAACACAACAATTTTCGGAAGTTTTTCCGTAACCAGAATAGAGTTATAAGTTTGATTATTTGAAAATTTCTATTCGTATTTCGTCTATAGATCGTAATTTCAATCATTCAATTTACGTTTAGCATCTTTGATTTTATATGCGATACATCGAAAGAAGATAAGATTTATATTTTGTAACCTGTTGACCTCCTTTTTCTACGGGAGTTGGTGTCAGCCGTCATCTCAAAGGCAGTTGCGCATTTCTCCTCGAAGTATCTTTCCAGCTTTTTATCCGTTTCTTGTTCATCTGCACTTCTATCGTTTTTGAATCCCGCCTTGCTTCTGACATCAAGTGAATTCTTCTTTTCTTTAATTGTTTCCATAGAGGAAGGCGCACTCTCGGCCAGGATTTCCTAAAAGTATCATATATGGAAGTACAAAATATTTCTTGTAAATGTAGCGTTAAATTGGGAGACGACGTTGTTCATCACCTAACCGAAAATAATTATATCTATATATTGAACTAATGGTCATAGTGTAAATGAGAAAACAATAGAACCATAATTAAAATTATCAAATCAATTTGAATTTTAGCAGTATAAGTAACAAAAGCAACAGTCTTCTATAGGCTGCTAGAACTCTGATGTAAAACAAATGTATACTGACAGCACAAAATCATCTAATTAACGTTTTACAGCTCAAAATGCAACGTGCAATGTGTTATTGTATAAGTTGATAGCTGATATATAACGAAATTACTTAACTATCCCTTCTAATGGATTAAACTGATGTAAACTCTAAAGGATTTTCAACAATCAACGATCTGATCACCAGAAGTTGAAATCCGATCCATGTTTATATGGAAGAATTTATGTTAAAATGTGAACTGAGAAATACATTTACATATGGAATAGTGTCCAGAACGTCTTTGGGAAGATGGGACGCCAACGTTCCTAAATCTCGTAGCGTTGTTGCTTTGATCTGCATTCCATTATTGCTGTAAATATTAGAAACCAGACAAAATGACCTCACACTGTAAATATAACAATGGACTTCAATTGTAAGTGTGTTGGTAAACAATACTTTTTGATACTACGACTTGTATTTGAATATGATAGACAACATCACTTCCCCATTTATAAAATCTGACAGGTGGCTGTATGATCATGTGTAAACCGATGATTCAGTGCAAGAAAGCCAATGTTTCTATTTCAAGATAAACGATTGATACTATCACTTTGATACCCCTGATTGTTACGTCACAGTGCTTTGATCAATGTTGTTGACTTCACATAACATGATTTTATCATCTGAAATGCATGAATACAGAAAAGTGATAATGATCTAGACTTCATGTTTGGTCACTTTTTATTCCAGAATACAAATATTCTATCATACATGATTGGAAACAATATAAATTTTCACGATCATGTTTTAGATTTGCCTGCCATTTCTGAGAAGGCCTTACATTTGTTTGACTGATGTATAAAGGGATAAGGCTGCATAACGTTCAGCCTTGCCCAGTGTTGTGCACTCATCCATCATTTTAATGGTCGCCTCAATCGCTGTGCCGTTTATCCGACTGATACCCTCTTCGTTAATTCCGCACAACAGATTGCCAGCCATATTCAATTCATCCTCGGATATTATGCCAGTTGTTTGTTTTCCCTTCAAGAGAATGTCATAGAAATTAAAGATATCATATTTCACACAACATTGCATTGCTGTTCCCGTTCCTTCAGTGTGTACTCTTGAGACTTGATAACTTTACAAATGATTTGCAGAGCGAAAATGTTTAAACTGATTTGTTATCCTTGACATTATACCGATGAGAGTAATTTAGGCTCAAAGCATAACTCTCCCTGAGCATCTGGGGGATTTGTCGATATCCAAGAGATGATTCTTGGGGAACTACAGTAAACATGTTTTATCAAAGTCTAATTCTCTTTAGATGATATATGTTTATAACCAACACAACAGGAACCCAGAACCTAAAATACTATCGTCTCCATCATGTATAAGACATGTATGCAAACGCTAAATCCACCCTGACCAGAGCCTGGCCCTCTCCTATCAAGGGTATCTACAATTACGTATGTGTAACGACTCTCCCTGATCAAGAGGTAACTATTTACTTGAATCTCCTGACAAAATGATTAGCTGTGTGTACACGTCGCGTGACTCTCTCTGGAAAAGGAATAGTTATGTGTATCCATTTTTTACGTACAAATCTATATTTCATATATCGTTTAACTACTATTTCCGAAAATTTTCTGTTTACATAAGGGGCAGAATGGATGAAACGCCAAACGTCCCTCGGATTGATTGCAGCATAAGAGAGTTATTGGGACGAAAATACGTCTGATAATTTGACAGCTGACTTAACTCTTACATGCAATCGTTGAACATTTACCGTTTTTGCTTGGTAATGAAAACAGACGTTTTCGAAAGCTCGCAAAATTTAGTTTTTAATCTCTGTTGGTGTTAATCTTTTTATATCTCTTCTTTAACCTCTTGATTTGCAAAACGTTATACACGTTAATGATATGTTTTTATGGATCCCCATCTGTAAAACAACATACTTATTTCTTAAGTTTTACATTTCATGTGAACACATATTACCTGACATGCGAGAAAATATTTCCATTTATCTTGAAGCTCTGCCTTTGTCAGTAGTTTTGTATAATCAACCGATTGAAAAGACCCCACGACATCGGTGCACACATGAGTTCCATACTTGCTTAATTCGTCCTTACTGAAATACAAGCAAGAACAAACAAAAAAGATAAACGAATTAAACTAAGAGACGTGAGCATTTGCAAAAAACGAATTTCCACAAATTAAATACTAACATGTATACAGATCTTAATTCAAAACCAGATTTGATAAAATATGGGAAACTATTAACGATGGAAAGATTTACACGGATAATTTTGGAATAGTACTAGGAGGATAAGACCAGGCTTTCCGGAAGGTGAGAGTCTCATCAGCGACACTTGCAATTTAAATCCATGTAATTAATATCACGTTCCCGAATGAGGAGAAAAGTCAACAATAACAAAACAACCAAGCCACATTTCCAAGCATGAAACACTTCCAACTTCATACCGCGGAAGGAAATACAACTTGACATTGTGATCATTATAGCGATAAAAAAAAACTTTTACATTATCTTCATCAACTGCATCTCTTGAACCATGTGTTGTGAGTTTGTAAGCTGCCGATATCGTGATATTGTTAACAAGACCTTGGTTATCGCATCAATTGCGACATGTAAAAGTCGGACGTTTGGGAATTACAATGTTCTGACTTTGTTGTACATGTCAACAATAATATAATTGACCAAAGACATACAATATAATAGTACATTTTACTGCAATTTTCAAAGTTAAAAAAGTAGAGCCATGAAATGAATCAAACTGTATCATACAACTGTTTCTTTTTCTAGGATTGGCTTGTACTGCTAAGAGCTTAAACTATGAATCCCAGGATGCGACTGAGAAAAATCCAAAGCGATAGAGAGAAAAGTTCACATCAAGGGTGGGAGTTGTAGCTGCTCCATAATTAAATAAATTTCGTAATTTTCATATTTCATATAATTTTACAACAACTTCATATGTATATCCTAAACCGCAAAACATAAAGCAGTGTCTACCAACATTCGTTCCAGTAAAATAATGGCAGTTATTTTTTAACAGGAACATTATATTGAATTAAAAAAAAAACCACAAAGACCACCAACCTGATATCCATAAGTAATTAATATATTGCTTATTACGCTATACCTGTGCATGAGAAGTAATTGTGGCGATATAGCACTGATACTGGCACTTGTGGTGTCCGCCTTTAACGTTGTTGCCGGAATGCTATCAAACCCCATAAATGCTTTTCTCAGCCTGTGTAGTTCTCTGATCTGATAAGAAAGGAGAAAGAAAACATTTGAGGAAAACATTGACGTCGTTTTTAGTTCTCACAAATAATTTGATTTTTAAAATTATATTTTGATTGCAAAAAAGTAGTATAAAAGCACTGAGCAGTGTAATTTGCAGTACATATGTTAACGAATATTCCAATGCTAATTATATCACGAGAGATATGACGGATGGCTTTGTTCATGGGTAAACATACTTTGTCTTATAAAGACCGCATATTTACAAAATAGGGATAACGATAAGCTGGTAAGAAATACCTAGCAAACCAAACTGGATATTGTGTGGTACTACATAGAATAACTAGAAGTCGCATGATACTATATAGAATACGTCGACATGGTGTAATACTACACAGAATAACTGGGTATGGTGTAGTTCTACATTGAATAATTGGATAAGGTGTGATACTAGATAGAATACTAAGCAGAATATGTGAATACGGTGTAATACTACACAGAGTAACTGTGTGATGCTACACTAAAATATTAACTAAATATGATATCGGATACTTCACATATACAAATACAGAGGGCCATTCTGGATAAGACAACAACAAATCTAAATGTGATAGGACTGGTCCAAACAAAACATATATATATAGATATATATATACAAAGCTACCTGTCCAGGGCACTCGTTGTTTGCGATCGCATTAAGTATATCAACGAAGGAGCTGTCCTGTGGGAAGTTCTCGATATCAGATATGGTGAACCCGCAGGTTACTGGACCAAGATTTTGTATGGTCTGTAGGTCGAATTCGCTTGATGTGCGTTCTTCTTTGATTCTTTTCATAAGGTTTCTAGACTGTTATAATAATGTAGAAGAAATGGTGATAATCAATATCTCTTTGAATTAGATAAAAAAAATTCAGACAATATTCTGTTTAATATATTACTTAAATATCACTTTTCTTGTACGTGTTGGTAAAGGTATTTCAGAAGCAAAATGTCATGTGAACTAAAAATGAAAATCAATTACAAAATCCCGCAAATTAAACACATAAGATTCCAAAATTCGTATCAGCCAATTTCCCCACCTGTTTAGCAGATACTTCAAGGGCACTTTCACTACTGATGACGTCCAGAATATCAGACGAAGGCATACTCTCAATGTCGGAGGGGGATATTACATGTGCAAATTTTGACTGCAGAAGCTTTTTCATTCCAAGCTGGCTCTTGAACTATCAAAATATTGACAGTATCGATTATTCAGAAAGCAAGCATGTTAAAAAGTATAAGTCTTGACGCATGTTTTCTTTCCAAATTCGTGTCAATTGCAATTTTCAAGTCAGAAGTTTTAACTTTACAATGTTACGATAATAATGTCAACAACGTACCTATAAAATAGACCAACTAAAACATTAAATAACCGTGATATTATATAAGGTAATTGTGAAATATACAACCAATGAATTGCCTATTATGCAAAAGATGAATATGGTGATATGAGTTACCTTCCTTTTCAGTTTAATCATAACTGCCTTTGTTCCTACACTTTCGTCTTGCCGTAGACTCTCGTCCAATGAGTTAAAGAAATCCTCGTCATATGAAGCTTCGGGAATGGCTTCAAAGTCTGTGGCGTTCAAGGCTTTCAAACATACGCGTGGTCCCATCTGCCTTAGGTTTGCACTAGTATATCGTCCCTTTGCATACAAAGGTAAATGAACAGAAGCAAGATTTACACGGTGACTTCTGAAAAAACTACAACGGGATATAAGACTTGATGTCCCGGAAAGGTACATTCTGCTTATCGATGACTAGCTCCTGTAAATCTTGATCAATCCAAGTATGAAAAACAACTGAGCATACTAACGAGTATAAAAAACTTCGTGGCGCACAAAGACATACAACTTTAATGCCCACTTATTTGCCATTATGACGACCGTATGCTACCCTCCGAGAACCTTGTGTTGTGCTTTTGTCTGTCAGTTTTGTAAATTTTGCATGGACACCATTACATTGTGAACTAGACCAATGTCGAGGAAGGGCCCCGCATAATACCTACCCCTTATGATTGAGTTTCTTAATATTAAGAAATATATGGACAGGTGTCAAGTATTGAAAGCAACTTTCATCAAAATCCAATGAAAATGGACCGATGGACAGATATATGGATCGACGGACAGGGAAACGGACGGACAGGGTGAACATTGAACTCGAATGAGGGGCTTATGTACCAAGTATCACAAAGCAAGTTTTAAAGAAATCCCAAATCATTCCTTCAGAAGATATTCTCTGTAAAACATTCAGCCAATCAGATTGCAGCAGCCTCATTAAATATGCGCGGAATTCGGCAAACATCGAACTTGAGCGAGGGACTTATGTACCAAGTATCATAAGCAAGTTTCATCGAAATCCCATCATTCCTTCTCAAGATATCGCGTGGAAAGCGAAACCGACAGACATGTAAAACATTCAGCCAATCAGATTGCAGCAGCCTCATTAAATATGCGTGGAATTTGGCGAACATCGAACTTGAGCGAGGGACTTATGTACCAAGTATCATAAGCAAGTTTCATCGAAATCTCATCATTCCTTCTCAAGATATCGTGCGGAAAGCGAAACGGACAGACAGACGGACGGACGGACGGACAGACGGACAAGGTGATTACTATAGGGCACCCGCATCGCGATGCGGGGCCCTAACAAGTCTTAGAAAATCGAATCAACTACGACATGTAAACAGCGTATGTTAGGGATGCAGGACTGTTGCTATCTAGGAATGATAAAAATTCGTAAAAGGAAAATTGAAAACACAGCTCGATCTTTTTTTTTTTTTTTTTTTTTTCAGATTTCGAGGTTGCTACTTCCAAGAAAAAACCTCTCAACATGGTTTCAATGCAATGACAACCTGCGTCATAGCGTCTAAAAACATATATTCATATGAATTACACAATTATACAGCAGAAACACTACACCTATGACATAATGGTAGAAATAGGTACAACTTACATCTGTTCTGTTGTACATTGATCTTGTCAATGACATCACTGCCCGAGCCTGGATAATAAACAATAAAATCGAGATATCAATTCTATTAAAGGATCACAGTGTTAAAAAAGGGATAAATCGGGACCAGCTTTTCAAATTGTACTTATACACTGAATTTCACGTCATAATTACCAATATTCACGAGTACATATATTTGAGTTCCTTGTTTTCGTCCTCAATAATGTTACTTTATAACGATATATCGTCACATCTATTGTTGTAATTCTGTGATATTTCAAGGCAAAACATATATGTGCTTACATCCAGTTGTTTCACACTGTAGATAGCATCAAACTTACAACACAATACAAAAGAATAGTTTAAAGATGTAATTGAAGGACTATATGTTGACTTAATCACCTGTTGTCTGTTTGTAATATCCATTTGTTGTAACACATTGCCAGACACCATTTCCTCCATTACTGAAGCAGGAATATGTTTGAATTCAGACGCGGGAAGATATGGTATCATGCATTTCATACATTCAGCTGTTGTAGTATTCATGCTCTCAGGGTTGGTGAGAACTGGAAGCTTTCTTCGAAACACTTTCGTCACCACCTTTTTCTGCAATGTTATTCATCATTATAAGACTGTAGCTGTTTTACGAAATCGAATAAACTATTAATACTTTGCATATAAATCTGATAAGGTAATGAAATGGATATCTTCTCCTTCAAATTTTACAGAGGAACGAAACTATATCACGGGTATTATTTAATTTTCATGAAATGTGAAATGTATAACCTTTCCCTTCTCTAAACTGCCGAACGTCTGACACAAATTACACAGCGAGTGTTCCATCTCCGTAGTATTGAGTCTATTTAATTGTCGTCTGTTCATCGCATTTACCAATCTGGGAAAAAATGGTATATATATGATAATTATGGGCAGAAATGTAATGCTGTTTAGCTGGCGGGTAGGTGTTTACTTCATTTCTATTACGGTAAGCGAGAATTTGGTAATCAGATGCAATACATAGCGATATGCATATCATAATGTAGGGAGTATATTTTCAGAAATATGTACATGTAGGTGGTAACCAACCTATAGAAAATCATAAAACAAGAAATAAACACGTAAAGTGACATAGAAATAAACAAAGTGTTGATCATTGAGTTAAGTTGGGAAAACATATATATTGCTATAGAGATGTAATTGTTGTATATATGAATTATATCACGGGTGAAGTAATGTTCGAAAAGCATACATCATAATTCAAATGATAAGATTGAGTTAAATCATTTTCACAAAATTTACATTTTTACATAATGCAACGTAATTTTTGAATATGGTTTATGTCTGTAGTATCACTATTCATTATGGAACTATATAAAGGTAACTACCTAGGAATCTGGTCACTTGTCAATTTGGAAGGATCAAACGTAGGGATGTCTTCAATAAATTTCATAGCATTACGGGCAGATGTCTTGCTAACATCCATCGTCGACAGGATCTTTTTAAAATACAGATTTATAGATAAAACAGTTAAAACATCATAAATCATAAGTCGAAGATATCACCCGCTTCAAGATAAATGCCAAAGTTTTATCAATCGGCTATATGAATTACTCTATTATGGCTCTTATAAAGCACGTCAAAGACTGTACAACAAACACACAAGAGAATAAGTTATTTCAGTCATAGATCAAGCAACAGAAAATTTATAAAGCAAAGTGTTGGTTTATTCAAAATTTGAAACAGCTACCGTAGAATCGTCGTAAATTGACTTAAATTGTCTTGGGTCAGCTCCGCATTGCTGTAGGAGATCCATCAATTCATCATTCATTGAAGCGGGAATGCTTGACATGCTTTCTACGTTGTTTAATATACGTCTTGTAATGATATTGATAGTTTGTCTTGAAAAATTTCCGCATGATTTGCTCAACATCCTCATGCTGAATAATAACAGAAAGTAATACTTTCAAAATCTCACCATTTACTACGTCCTGCCTGCAGAGTTATTGGTATGAGAGTTAGGTATGACTCTCAAGTATTTTGGTCTTATGGTTTTAAAATAAACGGATAAATATTGACCATAACCAAATCACAACATGACCTGCATTTTATCGTTATACAACCACGAACCTGTTTACAATTCTAAATACATGTAGATATCTGCCTGTTAAAGAATGAATGAACCAAATTATAACAGAATGATGACAAGAGTAAAACCATATCCCCAACTCCATTTCCACGACAAGGAAATGGTTTACAATTACAATATTCTAAAATAGTGTTTGACACAAACACGTTGTTCATCTTTCTCAATGTCTATCTGAAAGACATGCAAAGAGAATCATCAACGATAATAATTTTCATACATTGGTGCTAGAAGTCTGACAGAGAGGTACCATTTCATTTGTATTATCTTTGCAAGTACTGAGACTGATATGGATACGATTAACCCCAACCTTTGATAACCTTTATTAACCTGGTGTGTAATTTTCTAGTGTTTAACAAGAGCCTCAAGGGAGATGTTTCCTACTTCATAGGTAATTTATCAATATTTCACGATGAACATCATATTAGCAACAAAAACATTCAAATATATACGTATAGATTACATTTTGTTTTAGGTTGGCTATTTACATTATTAGGAAATATTTATTTCATAAAACTTAAAATTCTACATATTTTTTTGACAATGAATAACGTACCAGACCATTATGACAAAAAATGATATGATTCATCCCTTACTTGTCAATAACAACATCGATTGGTATAACTTCAAAGTGTCTCCTTCTCAGCTTCTTGATGGTATAGTTGAATGCGATGGTCCAAGTGTCTCTGTTCCAATTAGCAAAGTCCTTTATATCAAGAAAGGAGTCAATGTCTTCCTCGGAAGGGGCTTCTCCAGTGGTCTGTATGATGAGAAACAATTTTATTTCAGATTATTCGCAGGTTTTTATACTTCAAACTGTCTATATTGACAGATGTATAATGTACTGCCTATATTGACTGATGTTTATTGTACTGCTTATATTGACAGTTGTATGTACTGCCTATATTGACAGTTGTATGTACTGCCTATATTTACAGATGTATATATTGCCTATATTGACAGTTGTATGTACTGCCTATATTGACTGATGTATAGTGCACTGCCTATATTGACTGATGTATATTGTACTGCCTATATTGACAATTGTATGTAGTGCCTATATTGACAGTTGTATGTACTGCCTATATTGACAGTTGTATGTACTGCCTATATTTACAGATGTATATATTGCCTATATTGACAGTTGTATGTACTGCCTATATTGACTGATGTATAGTGCACTGCCTATATTGACTGATGTATATTGTACTGCCTATATTGACAATTGTATGTAGTGCCTATATTGACAGTTGTATGTGGTGCCTATATTGACTGATGTATATTGTACTGCCTATATTGACAGTTGTTTGTACTACCTATGTTGAAGATTGCATGTAGTGCCTATATTGACAGTTGTAAGTGGTATATTGACTGATGTATAGTGTACTACCTATATTGACTGATGTCTAGAGTACTGCCTATATTGACTGATGTATAGTGCACTGCCTATATTGACAGTTGTATGTACTGTCTATATTGACAGTTGTATGTACTGCTTATATTGACTGATGTATAGGGCACTGCCTATATTGACAGTTGTATGTACTTCCTATTTTGACAGTTGTATGTACTACCTATATTGACAATTGTATGTAGTGCCTATATTGACAGTTGTAAGTGGTGCCTATATTGACTGATGTATAGTGTACTGCCTATATTGACTGATGTCTAGTGTACTGCCTATATTGACAGTTGTATGTAGTGCCTATATTGACTGATGTATAGTGTACTGCCTATATTGACTGATGTCTAATGTACTGCCTATACTGACAGTTGTATGAGGTGCCTATATTGACTGATGTATAGTGTACTGCCTATATTGACAGTTGTATGTACTGCCTATATTGAAAGCAGTATTTACTGCCTATATTGGGTGATGTATGTACAGCCAATTTGGACAGTTGTTTGTACTGCCTATATTGACAGTTGTATGTACTGCCTAGATTGACAGTTGTATGTACTGCCTATATTGACAGTTGTATGTACTGCCTATTTTGACAGTTGTATGTACTGCCTATATTGACAGTTGTATGTACTGCTTATATTGACTGATGTATAGTGCACTGTCTATATTGAGAGTTGTATGTACTGCCTATATTGACAGTTGTATGTACTGCTTATATTGACTGATGTATAGGGCACTGCCTATATTTACAGTTGTATGTACTGCCTATTTTGACAGTTGTATGTACTACCTATATTGGCAATTGTATGTAGTGCCTATATTGACAGTTGCAAGTGGTGCCTATATTGACTGATGTATAGTGTACTGCTTATATTGACTGATGTCTAGTGTACTGCCTATACTGACAGTTGTATGAGGTGCCTATATTGACTGATGTATAGTGTACTGCCTATATTGACAGTTGTATGTACTGCCTAGACTGACAGTTGTATGTACTGCTTATATTGACTGATGTATAGTGCACTGCCTATATTGACAGTTGTATGTAGTGCCTATATTGACTGATGTATAGTGTACTGCCTATATTGACTGATGTCTAGTGTACTGCCTTTACTGACAGTTGTATGAGGTGCTTATATTGACTGATGTATAGTGTACTGCCTTTATTGACAGTTGTATGTACTGCCTAGATTGACAGTTGTATGTACTGCCTATATTGACAGTTGTATGTACTGCTTATATTGACTGATGTATAGGGCACTGCCTATATTGACAGTTGTATGCACTGCCTATTTTGACAGTTGTATGTACTGCCTATATTGACAGTTGTATGTACTGCCTATATTGACAGTTGTATGTAATGCCTATATTGACATTTGTATGTACTGCCTATATTGACAGTTGTATGTGGTTCCTATATTGACTGATGTATAGTGTACTGCCTATATTGACTGATGTCTAGTGTACTGCCTATACTGACAGTTGTATCTACTGCCTATATTGAAAGCAGTATTTACCGCCTATATTGGGTGATGTATGTACAGCCTATTTGGACAGTTGTTTGTACTGCCTATATTGACAGTTGTATGTACTGCTCATATTGACTGATGTATAGTGTACTGCCTATATTTACAGATGTATGTACTGTCTATATTGACAGTTGTATGTACTACCTATATTGACAATTGTATGTAGTGTAACGTCAAGGTCAAATGTGTATACCATAATACCGTTGTAATGATGTTGAATGTACTGAAACGATATCAGCTGATCGATGTGCTATCAGGATGTAAATGGTGATATAAAATGTATCGCCGGGATGGAATGGAGTAGAATGTATTTCCAGAGGTCGATGTGTTACTTACCATCAGGATTGACTGACATTGAATATCATCCAGTATCGTTCTCCTTATCACACAGTCTTGTGTGTTCAGATTTTTACACAGAACTTTTTTCACGTCCGCTGCCATCGTAGGATACATCTCTGCGGTGAAATTAGGCTGTGAAAATGTTAACAGTGTAGTTCCTTAACATTGCTTAATAAATGTACATTACTTCCATTCTTCTAAAGGACAGAACTTTACTTCTCTGCTAGGTGGCCCTACATTTATCAATAATTGAACTACACTACCAGTGAAGTTTGAAATCTGTCGTTTTATATGTTCCACTTATGTCACTGTGCCAATAGAAAATTCTTTTGTGGTAATGTTGATGTTGTACGTCATTTCTATTTAGTCTCATCACGATCATGTAGATCATAAATACATTAGATCTTTTTCATTAAAAAAACAAACTGTATTACTATTTAGTGTCCGATTAGCCGAAGATGTATTTTATGGAAATATTCATGTTTAATTTAAACTGATAATCTCCTTGGAACCCATAACGTACTTTTCTCTTTTTGATTTTCTATTTAAAGGAAATGAGATACTAAGGGGAAACTCGTATTACGTGGCTCTCATTAACAGGAACCAAATAGTTCATGATAAACTCGGGAGTCTTATTATTTCAATCACATAATCGCATCAGTTTATTTTTATTTTATATATTCATTAATTCTTAAATTTATGAATTACTTTCTGTGCAATAAGGATGTATATGTCGTGTCTTGATATACAGTGTATCGATGATAAATCATAACCGTTAAGATTTTTTCACAGCATGTTACCGATATACAATGACAAATCTGACCTTGTATTAACACACTTTAAAACACGTGTTTTCGTACTTTTACAGCTTTTCAGAAATTCTTACTGTGTTACTGACGTCATATTTCATATTGATTTTGATATGTAATTACATGTCTTTGAAACGAAATATCATGCTTGAGATTGACATTTTTAAACCGATAGCTAGTGAATTAAAGTCTTACTGTACTTAATCTAATTCAAAAAGAATTTACCATATGAAAATCAAATTGGACTTCACAGAAAAAGACATGCGGAACCATATCACATTACATATAGATCCTGTTCAAAGTTCGCATTAATGAAATTTGATGATGACTTGCATATTCAGATGTAAATACGACAAATGCATTTGTAATGTATATGTAAGAAAATAGTTCCCGCGTATCCATGTTGACGATACTTACCTCTAACATAGTGAATACATTCTTAGGGATAAATTTCATTGTAGTAGCGTCCATATTTACAGGTTGATTGAGAAACGTGGTGATGTTCTGCTTAACGTTAGCGCCAAGCCGGGTCCATTTTCTGAGATAGGACAGGAACCCTTCACACGTAGCCATCATGGCATTCACCTGAAAGTCTACAAGAAGTAACGGGATGGATAAAGCGCAATAGCACAAGGTGTCAGTAGGGTAGGCTACGATACGAATGACAGCGAATGTTATAATATACTTCCTAACGGAAATAAAGGTAGTAAAAATCGTAAACACAGAATCACCTTAATATCTTTCCTCTCACATAATGGAATACTTCAGTTATATTTGAATAACAAATTGACCGACTTTTATTGAATAGCAAATTCGCGGTAATTAATCACATTTCAGTAGGATTAAAATAACAAAATGTACGTACGTGGTAAAGCTATGATATCATCATATGCCTGCCGCATACTTTGTGACAAAACATGGACGAATGTCTGATTAACAGATCCATAATTATCGAAGGCTCTGCACATTGTATTCTTTTTTCTGTTAAACATCGGACAGTACGAACATTCCGGTGGACAGAAGTACGTCTTAGCTTGACTTGTGTTTCCAATGCCGTATCTGACGGTTGTTGTCTTTGTTACATTAATATTTGTTACTATTAGTCAAGTGAAATTATTATCATAAACGATAGATTCAAGTATGATCAAATAGATTAATGTGAATAAACTGAGCAGCAGCTATGTTTGGAAATTACTAATGGATTTGTATTAATGATGGGATAACGTTAATCTTACACCTTCAATTTGGAAATATTTGGTATGTATTTGACATTTATGTAAATAAAACTTACCGTGCACAGCAATTAAAACTGTAAAAGAAAAAAAGTTATGCTCGCAATGATATTACTACCAATTTAGAGACTTATTCATATCAATTCTATTTTCGGATCCTAAATCAAAAATAGCTTATCTGAGATGGGGAATTCTATGTCATGACAACATCATTGTTAATCCGAATGCAAACTCCTACCATACAATTCAACGACATACGGACGACCTTTAGAGACTGTTACAAGGTGTATCATTGTTATAACACATCATTTGTGATGGTAACAGACATGGTGACAGAGAAAACCCAACAAAAATAAGACATAACACTTCTATACCGTTGTGGTAGTGACAGACATGGTGAAAGAGGAACCGTATACTTGAAGACTTCCGTAAGGTTCCGGAAAAAACACGTGCAGTTTGGCGCATTATTTCATATGTATTCATGCGAACAACGGAAGGGGCACCCTGGACATTTGCCTCCGGATGGGAAGTCTCCAATTGTATCCCCCCCCCATTTCTCTACGTCTGGCGAAAACACTTTATCATAATAAGAACGGTCAATAGAGATTATGTCCTAAAATCGACTGAACGAAATCAAAACATACAGTTACTGCTCTCGATATCGAGGGAGTAACTGGATGTAGTAGCTTAAACCATTGCTATGGTGACAGATCACAATATAAAAAATATAAACTTATACCAATTAACTGAAGAATGTCTAGTTCTTGATGTAACTTTCGAATCATCTTGTTTGACCGGATCAAACCAGACTGAGCTGCGTCATCAGATATGCCAAGTAGGTATAATGACGTCAGTTGCGTTTGACAGTCTAAGTTAACACGTACTTTTGTGGAATTTATGAAAACGTTCGAGCTTGTTCTTTACATGAAGTGCAATTATGTATGATTATTATAAGCGATTAAACAACTAATAGAAATATATTTATGCTAGTCGTGTACTTTTATTATTATCATTATTATTTCTTGTCTAGACGAACTCCAAACCATATCGTAGATATTCCCAACTAAGCTGATATTTTTGCACAGCGGCTTCCTCTGGTTAATTATGTTTCATGTAAAAATGAAAGAGTAAACTCGAAATCACCATGAATATAAAATAAATGGAACAGGATAATATAAATACATTGTATATGAACTAGACGTCAACGTTTAACCATCATGACGGTTTGTAGCAAGAAGCTCTCAAACTTCCTGTAATAATAACTGATGAACTTTCATAGCGCCTCAAAAATAATTAAGTTGACTTTCAATTTATACCTAACAGAATACGGGATCAAGAGATTGTGAAACCGTACTTCCAGAACAACAGTTTAAAAAATGAAAACACCCAATATCGGGAGCCATTTTGTTACGTCATTTTCAACTCCTGTCGTAACGTTATCTTCCATTTTTATGACATCACAATCAATTTCTGTCTGGCTCTCTACATTGAACTTTTTCTTTAGGCATTTATGATTGTTATACAGATTTGCAGGCAAACACCAGTTATTGCAAAACTGGCATATAACGACCATAAAAACAAGACTGATCAACAATATTTACATACCCTACCAATTTTGTTGTCTTCTGTTGATTATAACTTGATTTAAACTGAAATTATTCATTATCGACATTGTAATCAGCCAATCGGAATAAACTTTTGTCGGTCTACGTCCAAAGTACTGTTGTCATTATCTTGCACTGGATCGATGACATCTTCAATTAACCCATCTTTCTGGTTAGTTTATATAATGGCATAATATAACACCAGTGGTGCTACACAAAGGCTGAAGTTCACATTACAGCCATGACTTAAATATTTAACTGTGAGGTTTTGGTGTCATAATAGCTTACTGAGATAACTTGACGTCATGGATAACCGCATAAAAAATCTCACCTCCCCAGGTATTCATCTTGACAATAACGATTACAAGTGTATGCTTACCTATAAACTACATGTATCTTTCTCTACTTACCTGCAATGCCAATGAACAATGTGTTACAGGTGTGCGAGTTCATAATGCGACGGTTGACAACTGTATGGTAAAAACTTCTTAATTGTTTTCACTTTCTCCTCCTTTCTCCCCAAGAACGCTGATTAAGAAAACTCTGAAATGATGTAGTACAGTACTTCGATCATATATTCCATTTCAAGTTAAAAGTGCATGAGATATGTGATTCTTTTGAAGATTTTAAAGGAGCGACACAAAAAATAAAAAAGCGAATTACAATAGACCGTTATGCGAACTTGAGATTCGTTTGATGTACATTAAAGGATTAAACTAGTCTTTTCGTCTTGTCCACATGGTGTCGCACACGTTACATTCAATATTGCTATAACATGTTCCAGGGGTGTAGTGAGCGAAAGTGGTTGTAACCTTCTAAAGAGTCGACATCACTGATGACTGGATGAATTCCACTGAAATCACCATATACATGTATGTGAAAACCGCTATTGTTTTCTAATCACGGGGCTATAGTACGCCTCCCTATCTGGATTTTGACATTTCTTTTGATAATAAGTTTTCTTCGGTCGCCTCCTTCGTTCCAGAATTTAGTCCCTTATATCACTGACGTCTATTAGAATGAAGAAGCAACTGTATGATGCAATTTACTTCATTATTTTGCTCCAATGTATCTAATTCTACATTTTTATTGAAGGTGTATCATTTGTGCAACCTTCTTATAACTTTAATTCTTACCGTCATGTCAATTATAATTCTTTTTAGTATTACTGGTGAAACTCAAAACTAACAGTCTCATGATCATTTGACACGTGATAAGCTTGAACGTGAGTCATTGTGATTTATCTAAACTTTCGCCCGAGCATGTCACTTGCCATGATGACATGATTTCTCTGTAAACTACAAGAATCTGTTTGCAGATTTCGATATCGTGTGACCTTGATATTGGGTCAAAGTAATCAATTTGCACACATCTGTGGCTCATCATACAGTATGTTTGACCTCTGTGGCCTGGTAACGTATTGACAACATATTGGACTTGTGATCCTGTGCATGCCAAGTTAATTGATTCCACGAAGATATTTACCAAGTTGCATCATTCTTGGACTGTTGGTTATTGAGAAGTTATTTGAATTTTCGACACATTTTTCGTTTGACCTTGAGAGTGGGTAAATGTCATTCATATGACCATAATACCATAATGTTTTGTCTTTTTGTTTTCGATAAGAAGTCATTTAAAGGAAAAATTACGAACACCACACTACGGTATTATAATTTAGTTAACTTCTATTAAGATCATTTTCGTTTTGAGTCGTATGTCCAGCACATAGCTGAAACAATAGCATGCTTAAATTTCAATTACTTTTCTGTTTATAATGAAAAAAACGAATACACGTTTACACAATTTAATAAATTTTCAGCATCTACCTCTTCTACATTGTTTCTCAACCATTAATTACTGTAAAATAAAGTAAATGGAAACTTTCTCATTTTGGATACAGTAGGTTACTGCGAGGTAAGAGTCAACATGAGTAGTTACAGCTCTCGACATAGTTTACGAACAGATACCAATTCTTCCTCTTGGGCTTAACAATTTAGACCCTTAGCATCACTGAAGAGTCTGGACAAAAAAATGATGGGGCGCCGTTTTAATATCAACAAAATGTGCCAACACTAATTCTTATCTACAAACTGTCATTAATTCATTTATTGGAATTGAAATAATTCGAATAAATGATATCATAAATTTGAATTAAAGATATCAATAAGTAGGAGTTATTTAATATTATCAATACTCATAAGATAATAACACATTTTGAAGATAAATACGAAGACGGTGCTCCCGAAACAGTTGTATGGCTCCAGGTACTAATTTATAATCAAAGCTTATTTAACAATATATTTGCTTGAAAGGTGATATTCACTTAAGTTTGTGTCTTTTGTACATTCTTCCATATATGTGCATTACAATACAGCCGGCGTTATGTACATACTGATAATGACATTGATGCTCACCTAAACCATGAAACTGTTAGGCTGAAGTAGGTCCTAAAGTTCCAGTCTCTTTACAAAGTAGAAATCGGATCCAATAATCCAAGGCACCCTATCAGAATTTTACACTAAATTTTGCTCGATTTACCTAAAAGTTTTCGTTGAATCGTTGAACACAATTTTCGACAACTACTTTCATGCGGTCCTGAGAAATGAAGTACCGGTCGTCTGTATGTTTCTGACGTATCCATGACGTCATTTAGCTGCAGCCAAATACATTTTAAAATATGACGTCACAAGACACAGTATCGAGGCATGTCACACTCGTTCTAAGTGAAAATAGGTCGGTGGTGATTATTACTCCCATGTTTCATTCAAAATGAGGTCATCCAGAGTAAAAAAACTCATTTCGCCAACATTAACATATATACATGTTCATCTATATAAAGGTCTTGGTTCCCCCTACGTGAGATTTCCGTAAACATTCTTTCACAATTTACCGTACTAGCAAATATTTCATGATTATAATATCAGAGATGATGCGGTATGTATCAAGCTGGTTGACACCAGAAAACGTATACTGTTAATATCAAGGTTATTCGGGACGAAGTGTTTCAAAGTACTGTGAATGTGTCTGTTCGCCATACATTCTACATTTTTTAATCAACTTTAAAAATGAGGCTATACCGCGTGTTTCCTATCTACAAGTTCTAGAATCTAATTTCTTACTTTGGTTTATGGTTTTTATCACAGCAAAATTTGAAGAAAAGGTTGATTTCAAACTATTTAATACCAAAAAAATATAACAGGGCTAATGTTTACTGTTTTTCTTGTAACAGCGGAAAAGCTGTTCCCCTTATGGTACCCCATACTGGTCATGTGATACCATCTTGTGACAAAATGGCGGCGCCCAGTATGAGAGTTGCGATGTTGTTGCTGACTGGTCTGTACTTTTTTTAATTTTTACGTAATCTACACATTGATGATCCAGACATTACTGTTTTTATCATTCGTTTATAAAGGTCAATGTGATTTTGAGGAAAATTGGGATAGCAAAACATTCGAAAATGACCCACAACTTGCGTACTCAGACACTTGCTTTGCACATTTGGGAGATCTAGAACTCCACATTCACTGCTATCGTATACAACCACGACCGTTAGATGCAACTTAGTAAATAATTGACAGCGATCAGATATAACAAAGTTTATTTGAAAGCAGTATTTATAAAACAGGAAAAATATTTAATGAACAAGGCAAATGAATCCAAAATTTACTGGTTACTGTTGTTGTCAAGCAAGTTCCTGACATCTGGAACATGTTATCTATCTAATTGTTAAATAATTACAGGGTTATCGGTGATACTAGCAAAGCCAGAGGAGGAATTGTTGTGTAACCCATCCAATATTCCCCCAGACAAGATGGATAGGGCCAAATTAACAATTATCTCTAAGGTTCCAAATGATACCATCTTATGGACACAAACTACAGAATGCCATGGGGTAAGTTAGGTTGTCAACATTTTTCACTGAGTGGCATACTTGGTTCATGTATGAATTTTTCATTTTTAATAGTAATTTTTTAACATTTACAAAAATGTACAAGTTGAATGAGCAAGTGTGCCTTTGTTTCTTTCATGCTGATTAGAAAACTTTCATATACTTAATATAGGCATAACATGTTCATAACCATCAAACTGTATATGTAGAAATGCTAACACTGTGTTGTGAGTTTCCCCTTTGCAGGTAGCTGCTGACATATGGTATTCAAAACATGCACTTGAAGTTAGCATTAGCTGATATGTGTCAGTGCCATTTAAGGTGAAGAATTAGGTTGACCAATACTATCTAGAAAAGGAAAACTCAACATTGGTAATAGATTTCTTGTTGTTTAAAGACAACACAATTTCTGATTATCTTAAAGTGTTACTGAAAGACTTGACAGTCCATTAACTGCTCTTGATATCTCTTTTGTTAATGTTTACACATTGTCCTGACAAAATGATGTTTTTTGTTTTCCCCATAACTAGTGCAAGTTAAGGAAAACTGTTGCAATTGAAAGGAACAACAACTGTACCGTGAGTCTTGATACAAGATGGAAAATGCAGTACCAGATAACTTATGACTTCAACAAAACTCATCCTTCACAAGTCGGTAGCTGCCCGTAAGTTCACACTGTGGTCTGTGATAAATAGTTTAACAATCAGATATATAGCATTAAAAATGTCAATAAAAGAAAAAAACAAATTGTCAATAACAAATAATATTGCAGTTACCTCCCTTATTTAATAATCCCTACTGGTCATATATTTGTCTCATTGTCCAGACACTGATAATTAAGACTAGGATCAAACGTCTTTTACAATGTTATATACTAAACAGCTGAAACTAGGCCTAGGCAATACAGGCAGTTCATCTTGGCTTAAGTTTGTATAGGCTGACATCATTCTATTATATCTCGAGGCATCAAAAATCTGTAGATATACATTTATGGATGGATCTTGAGGGATGCTATATGTTATATACAAGGATGTTTTTCTATCAATGATAGGTCACCTTGATGGACATATTTATGTTTTTTCGCAGGTTTTTGATTTACATGTAGATTCTTTTTTAGTTATGGAGGTCCATGTACATGTACAGAAATGTTTTCTACACTATTAAACTTTGGTAGTGTAATATAGTGGTAGATAATAACATTCATCAAAGTGTATATTTATGTTCTTTTGTCAAGGTAGACAGAAGTGGGACATATCAATATCTTTTTATAACAGTTATACATATTGGTTGCATTTTGTCAAGCAAACTACATGTACTTTTAAGAGCTAAGCAATACATAAATATGTACCATATACAGACATGAATATTGCTTACATCCTCATCTACATTATCATTCCATATTTATATGGAACTTGAAATTAGCTTATGGTATATATATATAACCAAAGTCACCTACAGATTTTGGGAGAGAATGTCTAGGAGGATATTTTTTATTTTGTATCAAATATAGAAATGAGGAGAGACGTAAAGGAATGGTTTAACTGTGTTGTCTGTATGTACAGTTGTACTTGAGATAAGGGAATACTGAGAGGTTAGGGAATTGATAAGGATATACTATATGTTGTTATCTAGATAAAGATATACTCTATCAATCAGATAGTCATTTGGAGATTTTCTAGAGATATACAACAGATGACAGATGTGACATTAGCCCAAATTCTCAGAATGTCCAAAACTGATATCAGAATCCATTTGTATACTAGGCTGATATAGGACCTCATTCTTATTCTAGGCTGATATCAGAATCCATTTGTAGACTAGGCTGATATCAGAATCCATTTGTATACTAGCCTGATATAGGACCCCATTCTTATTCTAGGCTGATATCAGAATCCATTTGTATCTTAGGCTGATAAAGGACCCCATTCTTATTCTAGGCTGATATCAGAATCCATTTGTATACTAGCCTGATATAGGACCCCATTCTTATTCCAGGCTGATATCAGAATCCATTTGTATACTAGGCATATATAGGACCCCATTCTTATTCTAGAACTGATATCAGAATCCATTTGTATACTAGGCTGATATAGGACCCCATTCTTTTTTCATTTGGAAATGGGAGGGGGGGGGGTTATATTCTTTAAAAGGAAAACGACTGATTTTTTTATCTGAGTAGTCTTGTCCTGGTCGTTCAACAGGTATTACTTCTTATTTGTCAGAGAGTTCAAGTATTTGAAATGTTCATATATTTAATTGTTAATCAGAACTAGTAAAGAACAAATTTTTCTTATACTTACCTTACTTACTGTTATTACTATTTTAGTCCAGCTAAAATCCATAAAAGCAGAAATTATTCAGAATTTATGTTAACCATATTAAGAATACAGCTTTAAAGGCTTTTTTGTTTGAACACAAGCTTTTTTACTTTGTTATAATATGTTAAACTGTATTAAAGTTAAGCTGTTTAAAATGTATTTTCAGGAAAGTGACATTAAAATTGGATGAATATGGTGTCTATTACATCTACATCCAAAAAAATCCTCATAACAGTTCCAACATCAAATGTGATACTGCTTTACAGATGAACATGCCAGCCGATAGTAACATTCGTAAGTAATACACAGAATCAATCATAAGTGTTGAGACAGACACATTTAAGACTCTTAAGTGTTGAGACAGTCACATTTGAAAGTGTTGAGACAGTCACATTCATAAATAATGAGACAGTTACATTTGTAAATGTTGAGACAGTATGACTTGTAGGTATTTAGACTGAGACATCAGTAAGTGCAGAAACATTTATGTGTTGAGATGGTTACATTCCAAAGTGTTGAGACAGTAACCTTTGTAAATGTTGAGATTTAAGTAAATTGATACAGTAACATGTGTAAGTGTTGAGACAGTAACATTTATAAGTATTGAGATAGTAACATTTGTGAGTTTTGAGAAAGTAACAAAAGTAACATTTGTGAGTTTTGAGAAAGTAACAAAAGTAACATTTGTGAGTTTTGAGAAAGTAACAAAAGTAACATTTGTGAGTTTTGAGAAAGTAACAAAAGTAACATTTGTAAGTATGGAATATGAAAAGTTTTTCTGATGATTCTCAAGAAAATATGAAGAACCGTACAATGATTCAGTTGGATATGGAATTATTGGCTGTGAAAGATGAAAAATTCAAGATGATGTGTTTATGATATGTATCTGAAACAACAGCATAATATGTTAAATCATTTTTAATTTCAAAATCAAAAGAAAAGCAATGTGTGTGATTTTGTTAGTAGATGTGATGAATCAGAGTATAAACCATAGAAACTTGGTTATCCTCTCACTCTGTGAACCTAATAATACATTCTTAACTTGTTTTACTTTAGCTATATACGTGGCCATTGGAATCTTTGTGGGTGTGGCCTTGCTTTGGGTTTTTGCAATCAATTGTCACAGGTAAGTAAGTGCACCAGCCTTTCAGTGATGTCACTGACCTCATTCAGTTGTCTGGTAGCTCTTTTTGAATTTTTGCCTGTGAGCTTGTACTTTTCTCATTATGATAACATGAAACAACCAGAAAGAATAACCTTCTGTTATTGAGGTCATATATTTGTTTGAATTAAAGTAAATCTAACTAGGTTCTTATAAATGACTTACAAAGGTGTAGAGCTCTCACTGTAGAAGACTGATGAAGTCAATCTAATGAACACACTTATACTCCATTAAGGTATGATACTGATGAGATCTGATATTACTAGGTAAAAACACCCCTTGATTACTCAGTCTGTGTTGGTGTCCACCTCTGCAGCAGCACCCTCTATTGACATGGTTTCTGTTACAGACGACACTGGTGGAACCGAGTGTTACTAAGTGCCGGAGCAGAGCGTTTGATAGATCCGGTAGGCCATCATCTGCTTGTCTTACCCACCCACTCAATATATACCTATCTGTATATGCATATCTGCCTTGCAGTTTAATATCCTTTTCACTGTATAAACCATAACCAACGGTAGAGTAACCAATGCACTTCTGCTGCCTGTCTGCATGATTTCTATTAGAACCTGACTTTTTTCTTAGAGCATGGATAGTTCAATACCAGCTGATATATTTATTTTCTTTTTTTTTTTTTTAATTTTGAGACAAGTTACAAATGTTGGAAATGTAACTGATTACATGAGGATAGAAAAATGCTTTAATAATTTAAATGTATCCTATGATAAATTTGATATGATGTACATAGTGTATACTATACAGTATCACTTTATGTATTGTTCTGTCACTATAACTCCCAACAAACCCAGTGTTTGTGAAACCTTTACTGACATCACTAATCAATGGCAGAGTGATCAAACTTTAATGCCTACATCCTATAATTAGTTGTTTTTCCATTTCATCATAACATAATTAAACTTGTTGAGACAAATTGAATTTTGAAATCACAATTAGTTCCACAAGAATAAGGACACGCATCAGCGATCTTACATCCTGACAGGGTTTTCACTCAAATAAACTGGAAAGTATTGATAGCAAATGTAATGTTTGCTTATATGTATTATGCTACTTTAAATCATGCTATGTGTGATCAGTCACAAGACACAAGATCAGTTACATATTGATCACATGACACATTATCTGCCACTGATTCAATTACATGACACTGCATCAGTCACTATTCTGATCACATGACACTGTATCAGACACTATTCTGATCACATGACACTGTATCAGACACTATTCTGATCACATGACACTGCATCAGACACTATTCTGATCACATGACACTGTATCAGACACTATTCTGATCACATGACACTATATCAGACACTATTCTGATCACATGACACTATATCAGACACTATTCTGATCACATGACACTGTATCGAGATATAATCAAAGGTAGATAGCGATATAAATACCCTGTTGTTGACATTTTCCTTACCTTGGATTATAGGAATCGGTTTTATAGCAAATCTACCTGTATGATATCTACATAATGTACATAATATAGACGTATAAAATGTAACCATTTTCTTGTTTTGTTTATTTTGTGTTTTGTTTTTCCCTTTTAGGGGGGGGATGTTTGTTTTATGGGTACTGTTTATTGCCCAGGGTCATTTTGAGATGGATTCTCCCTGTAATAGTTGGTAGTTACTTCACTAAATATAAAGGAGGCCCATCTCATGCTGTCCAGGCAATAAGGTGACATATTTTCCCAAAAACACATCCTTATCGGTATAGACCATTCTGTTTTCTCAGTTTCCGGAGAAACAGAAAGAGTCAAGGATAGATAGAATAGGAGGTTATTTTGGAACATTTTCTTCAGGTTGGTAATGTGAACAGAATAGAAGCTCTTGTAACGCAACCGGTAGAAGATTTGTGTATGTCATTTCGATGACCACACAGTTACTTTCATCAAACAAATGACCATTGTTCAGCATACTAGCACGGATGTATGTACACAGTAGTGTATGAGATAGTAAGGAATCAACCAACTTTTTCGACTGAATTATGACCAAATAATAAACAAAGCATAGCCAAATTGACTACAGTGCATTGTTACCATTTTGTGTACTTTCTTTTCTTTAATCTGCTTACGATCTCGTCACACTATATTCAACCTTAGTGTACATTGGGTTACAATAAGCCAATAAAGTCTTATCAATTCTGTACCATTGGAACATGACGTATGACAATGCTAGTATGCTTAACCATGGTGATTTGTCTGATGTAGGTGACAGTGTAGTCATCAAAATGTCACACTCAATTCTGTGCTGGTTCTGTTATAACAACTATCATTCTAGGGAAGGAGATTGTTACATCTGTAGATGAGAATTGAGTGTTGGAGAAATTTGGGTTGGATTTGATCATTAATGATGACATAAAATGACTCTCTTATGTAGCAGTTGTCTGAGATAGTTTGGTGAAAAAAATACCTTGACCTTATCAATAAAACAATTTTGCTTTGCAGTGATATTCTCAGGGCAGGTGCCCTGTTGGCTTTACTTTAATCCTGTCATCTTTTACAACTAAAAAGTTGGGAGAACATCCTGATAAACTAATATATCATGCTTAGACTATTTATAAGTCAAAAACATGTCTCAGTGTCTAATTACAGTAGGTAAAATCAGCTGCTTTTGTATCAGGTCTATATATTGTGATGGAAGCATGCCCATGGACAGTTTGTTTAAGTCTGTACCTGGTGTTCTCATTCAATGGTTGTTCCATCCTTATTGGATATATTACACACTGTTGACCATCAAAGTGACAAACAGGAATATTTGACACAGGCAAATCAAAGTAAACCTTGGGTTAATGTGGCCCATTTTCCCCTCACAGCCTCCTAATGAATCTAAGGAACAGGGAGAACTTATCAAGGAAAAGCAAACAGGAGAGAGGGGGAGAGCTGTAAGGCGGCGTGCTGGACGCTCTAGGGAGTCCCAGACTAAGGGGAGGGTGAGTTGTAGGAATAGACATGTTGCGGTATAGTTGTCACCGCGGGTACCATCCTCCTCTGTCTTTCCATTTGGTTGTCTTTACCCAGCTAGTCTGCTATAAGATCTTTACTACATGGTGTGAAAATTCTGCTTGGCTTTGTCCATTAATGCTAGCTTTAATAGTACCAGTAAATATAGCATTGCGTATATCTGAGAGGATTTTGACATTCCTCTGTAATGTTCCTAGTCATTTGCTACACTTCTATAGTAAATATTAAATCCAGTCTTTCTTGAAAGGCTTCTGTTTGAAATGCTATGAAATATTTCCTGTTGGCTTGTAAGAATATAAGTAAGCTAGTCATGCTTTATATATCTCTGTATCTACACGTATAATGTTAAGGAATCAATTCACATACAGTCGAAACTCAATATCTCGAAATTCAACAGTGTCCAAATAACATGTGTTACGCATAGGTGATTTTCTACTGTGTATGTATTAATCAATTTCGTCAGAAGACATGTAGATTTTTTGACAAATGTAAATTTTAAGACAATATTTCCCTTGCTTTACAACTTAAGGGACTAAAAATCACTTTGACTCAAACAAAATTTCAACTCCATGAAATTTGAGTCATCCAAACTAAAATTTCAAAGATATAGAAGAAAAATTGTTTTGACTCCAGTGATTTTGAGATGAGTTTCAACTGTATAAGGAAATTTGCACTTCCATCAACATCTTGAAATGCAACATTTATCAAAATGAAAGTTTACTTATATTCTTATTGGTGATGTTTGGGATCCTGGTATGTTACCTGCTTTTGTTGTTTTATAGAAAAAAGCCAGAGCTGGTTAGAGACTGAAAATAAAAGTAAAATATTAGTAGAAGTAAAAACAATGGCATGTACATGTAATACAGCACAGACTTCTGTTATACGTAGGTCTTACATGGTGTTTACATGGTGTATATTTGTTGTACATGGTACAGATGTGGTGTTAACATGTTGTACATGGTGTATACTTTTCTGTTCATATTTTATAAACTGTGTCAACATCGTGTTTATTTGTATGACATGCTAACATTTTGCTAACTTGTCCTACTTTTGTTTAGGAGGTGTACAGGTATTTGTGAACAGGCCCAGTCTATATGACAAGAGAGTTTAAGACGGCTCTACAAACCTTGTCAATGACAGTGTGGTATGGATTTGGTTAACCAGACTTATGACTGGCGAATTATCTTGACATTTTACTGTATCATATTACTGTATTTTCTTTCATCAGATCCAGGACATCATTTCAAGTGTATAAAGCTTTCGTGATACTTTATTCTTAGTAATTGGCTAGAGCCACTACAGAGATGTTGTACAGTATAAGGAGTATAAGGACTGTTTTTGGGGGGATCGGTCGGAAGTGGGGGGGGGGGTGTTTAGTAAGAATATGATTAGGTCTTCGCAAGAATCTCTCTAATGGTACACAATGCCTGTATTTTACAGCATGCCTCTGTTAGAGAGATACTTGTGACACAGTGTATCTGTTTGTATTATACATCATACCTATGTTATAGAGATACTTGTGACACAGTGTGTCTGTTTGTATTATACACCATACCTATGTTATAGAGATACTTGTGACACAGTGTATCTGTTTGTATTATACACCATACCTTGTTATAGAGATACTTGTGACACAGTGTGTCTGTTTGTATTTTACAGCATGCCTCTGTTAGAGAGATACTTGTGACAGTGTATCTGTTTGTATTATACATCATACCTATGTTATAGAGATACTTGTAACACAGTGTGTCTGTTTGTATTATACACCATACCTATGTTATAGAGATACTTGTGACACAGTGTATCTGTTTGTATTATACATCATACCTATGTTATAGAGATACTTGTAACACAGTGTGTCTGTTTGTATTTTACAGCATGCCTCTGTTAGAGAGGTACTTGTGACACAGTGTGTCTGTTTGTATTATACATCATACCTATGTTAGAGAGATACTTGTGACACAGTGTGTCTGTTTGCATTATACATCATACCTATGTTAGAGAGATACTTGTGACAGTGTGTCTGTTTGTATTATACACCATACCTTGTTATAGAGATACTTGTGACACAGTGTATCTGTTTGTATTATACACCATACCTATGTTAGAGAGATACTTGTGACACAGTGTGTCTGTTTGTATTATACACCATACCTTGTTATAGAGATACTTGTGACACAGTGTATCTGTTTGTATTATACATCATACCTATGTTAGAGAGATACTTGTGACACAGTATGTTTGTATTATACACCATACCTATGTTAGAGAGATACTTGTGACACAGTGTGTTTGTATTATACATCATACCTATGTTAGAGAGATACTTGTGACAGTGTGTCTATTTGTATTATACACCATACCTATGTTAGAGAGATACTTGTGACACAGTGTATTTGTTTGCATTATACATCATACCTATGTTAGAGAGATACTTGTGACACAGTGTGTCTGTTTGTATTATACACCATACCTTGTTATAGAGATACTTGTGACACAGTGTGTCTGTTTGTATTATACAGCATACCTATGTTATAGAGATACTTGTGACACAGTGTATCTGTTTGTATTATACATCATACCTATGTTAAAGAGATACTTGTAACACAGTGTGTCTGTTTGTATTTTACAGCATGCCTCTGTTAGAGAGGTACTTGTGACACAGTGTGTCTGTTTGTATTATACATCATACCTATGTTAGAGAGATACTTGTGACAGTGTGTCTGTTTGTATTATACACCATACCTTGTTATAGAGATACTTGTGACACAGTGTATCTGTTTGTATTATACATCATATCTATGTTAGAGAGATACTTGTGACACAGTGTATCTGTTTGTATTATACATCATACCTATGTTATAGAGATACTTGTGACACAGTGTGTCTGTTTGTATTATACACCATACCTATGTTATAGAGATACTTGTGACACAGTGTATCTGTTTGTATTATACACCATACCTTGTTATAGAGATACTTGTGACACAGTGTGTCTGTTTGTATTTTACAGCATGCCTCTGTTAGAGAGATACTTGTGACAGTGTATCTGTTTGTATTATACATCATACCTATGTTATAGAGATACTTGTAACACAGTGTGTCTGTTTGTATTTTACAGCATGCCTCTGTTAGAGAGGTACTTGTGACACAGTGTGTCTGTTTGTATTATACATCATACCTATGTTAGAGAGATACTTGTGACACAGTGTGTCTGTTTGCATTATACATCATACCTATGTTAGAGAGATACTTGTGACAGTGTGTCTGTTTGTATTATACACCATACCTTGTTATAGAGATACTTGTGACACAGTGTATCTGTTTGTATTATACATCATACCTATGTTAGAGAGATACTTGTGACACAGTGTGTCTGTTTGTATTATACACCATACCTTGTTATAGAGATACTTGTGACACAGTGTATCTGTTTGTATTATACATCATACCTATGTTAGAGAGATACTTGTGACACAGTGTGTTTGTATTATACACCATACCTATGTTAGAGAGATACTTGTGACACAGTGTATCTGTTTGTATTATACACCATACCTATGTTAGAGAGATACTTGTGACACAGTGTGTCTGTTTGTATTATACACCATACCTTGTTATAGAGATACTTGTGACACAGTGTGTCTGTTTGTATTATACAGCATACCTATGTTATAGAGATACTTGTGACACAGTGTATCTGTTTGTATTATACATCATACCTATGTTATAGAGATACTTGTAACACAGTGTGTCTGTTTGTATTTTACAGCATGCCTCTGTTAGAGAGGTACTTGTGACACAGTGTGTCTGTTTGTATTATACATCATACCTATGTTAGAGAGATACTTGTGACACAGTGTGTCTGTTTGCATTATACATCATACCTATGTTAGAGAGATACTTGTGACAGTGTGTCTATTTGTATTATACACCATACCTTGTTATAGAGATACTTGTGACACAGTGTATCTGTTTGTATTATACATCATACCTATGTTAGAGAGATACTTGTGACACAGTGTGTCTGTTTGTATTATACACCATACCTTGTTATAGAGATACTTGTGACACAGTGTATCTGTTTGTATTATACATCATACCTATGTTAGAGAGATACTTGTGACACAGTGTGTTTGTATTATACACCATACCTATGTTAGAGAGACACTTGTGACACAGTGTGTCTGTTTGTATTATACACCATACCTCGTTATAGAGATACTTGTGACACAGTGTGTCTGTTTGTATTTTACAGCATGCCTCTGTTAGAGAGGTACTTGTGACACAGTGTGTCTGTTTGTATTATACATCATACCTATGTTAGAGAGATACTTGTGACACAGTGTGTCTGTTTGTATTATACATCATACCTATGTTAGAGAGATACTTGTGACACAGTGTGTCTGTTTGTATTATACCCCTGACCTTGTTATAAAGATACTTGTGACACAGTGTGTCTGTTTGTATTTTACAGCATGCCTATGCTTCACAGGACCTTGGCAGCATGCACAATATGAACACCAATATCAATCCAGTTGACAATGAGGAAAACAGACCTAAAAAAGAGCGTCTGAAATCCTTGGATACTTTCAGAGGGTAAGTTATTATCAATTCTTTAGACTTTTTAAGTATGTTTTAGTCTAGTTTTCATAAATACTTGAATTTGGAATATGGTTACATACATTTAATTCCTGTAAGTTTCAGGTCATAACTATAAAAAGTTATCAATATCAGAAATTGAGAAATAAAGCATTTTTACAATTGCATCTGTTCATTCATGCCTTATTTTCCATGTATCATTCTATTATTGACCTTTCAGTATTTGCATAACCTAGATTTAATCAAACAAAGTTCAAGCAATATATAGTATTAACTTGATGTGACAAAATACAAGTGTATTTAATATTGATTTATAAGAATTTTAGGCCAAAGTGTATTTATAATTATTTATGTGAAGGCTTAGCTACGGTATCTGTCTGGTATTGATGTTGTTTTGTGTTATTTTACAGAATAAGCATTGTGATAATGATATTTGTAAACTACAAGGGTGGGGGTTATTGGTTTTTCCACCATGCCCGCTGGAATGGGCTCACAGTTGCAGATTTGGTGTTTCCGTGGTAAGTGGATGTACAAAGGGAGATAACTCCAGAATGCTCCTTGGCATGTACAGTGTATTTAGTAGTTAACTGCTTGCATGTTTACTAATACTTCATACTAATACTTGTATTTCTTTCTGTTGTAGAAACAACTCTCAGACCTTAGTCTACAATTGTACTTATCATACAATAAGGCCAGGGTTGCAATACATAATCTCTGGCTCACGTTGGGGGGATGGGCAATTATATAGTATTTGTAATTCTACAGATTGTCAAGCATGGGCTTATTGTCAGATAAGTACAAAGATGTTATATTGCATTAGTTTTGCTGACTTTTTGTGACTCCTTGTTTTGGATTTACAATATCCTCTATAACTTGAGGTCTACTAATGCCTTTTTCTACTTTAAGCCTTGAGGTTTCCTCACATCTGTAACTCTCCTTGTTTTGGATTTACAATATCCTCTATAACATGAGGTCTACTAATGCCTTTTTCTACTTTAAGCCTTGAGGTTTTCTTACATCTGTAACTCTCCTTGTTTTAGATTGAGTTTAGTCGTAATGTGCTTTGTTAACTATGGTGGAGGGGGTTATTGGTTCTTTGCCCACTCGGACTGGAATGGTATCACTGTAGCAGATTTGGTTTTCCCTTGGTATGTCATTTACTACCTGTTCACTGATTGCTGTTTGTAGAAGGTTGAATCACACACATTTTATTTTTTTGCACTGTTTTTGCTTTGTTAGTTACAAGTGTTATTACTTTAGAAATTCTGTACATTTGAAGGAAAAAACCAATAGATATAACAAAACACTAACATCTGTTTCACTTATATATAATACTATTTATCATATGTCTACCACTGAGATGTTTTGTAGATATGTCATTATATAAACGACATATTCAATCACTGTATTCCTGCATGATCTAGTGTAAATACTTAATCCTCATTGAAAAGCAGTTATTCTGAACTTTCGTAGATTGTGGATACGATGCCCATCTATCCTATACATTGGTAAACATGTTACAGAATATATCAAACTGGTGTAGTAAATTCACCTTTAGTAAGCCTCCAAAAATCTGAAATGGCTGAGTATCACGATAATAATTTGTAAGCTAAAAAAAGGAAAATTAGAAAATTGTAAAGAACAAAAATGTGTCTTTATACTGTCAGTGATATACCACACTGATCTATTGAGTATTAAGTCAATATTAACTGAATTTAAGAAAATTCTCTGGCTTTAACCTCAGTGTTTTGAATGTATTTTGCCTCAGTAATAGAAGTACATGTATATGTATGAGAGTCACAAATTTCTGTATTTTATAGATTTTCTTAAGCATATGATCTTTTCTCACCTTGTAGGTTTGTTTTCATCATGGGAACCTCTATGGCCTTTTCATACAGTTCCCTCTTACAGAAATGTGTCCCTAAATGGAAAATATTTCTGAAGATTCTGAAGAGATCTTGTATTCTGTTTGTTTTGGGTTTAATTGTCAACACAGCGGGTGGACATTCACGTAAGTTTAAACAATATAGACACACATAAAAACTTAACATGAGAGGCTTGTGTAAGTTTTGTACTACTGAACACCTGATCATGAAATGTATCTTATGACTAAATTCTGACATTTTTACCTCCACAGCTGTGTCCTTGCCACATCTGAGAATACCAGGCGTACTACAGAGGTTTGCACTCACATATCTCATCACAGCCTCTGTTCACTTATTGTTTATCCGAGAGGCTGACATCCACATGGTAGGTGTATTATGTTATCACAGCCTCCATACACCTACTGTTTATCTGTGACACTGACATCACAGCCTCCATACACCTACTTTTATCTGTGAGACTGACATCACAGCCTCCATACACCTACTGTTTATCTGTGAGACTGACATCACAGCCTCCATACACCTACTGTTTATCTGTGACACTGACATCACAGCCTCCATACACCTACTGTTTATCTGTGACAATGACATCACAGCCTCCATATACCTACTGTTTATCTGTGACACTGACATCACAGCCTCCATACACCTACTGTTTATCTGTGAGACTGACATCACAGCCTCCATACACCTACTGTTTATCTGTAAGACTGACATCACAGCCTCCATACACCTACTGTTTATCTGTGACACTGACATCATAGCCTCCATACACCTACTGTTTATCTGTGAGACTGACATCACAGCCTCCATACACCTACTGTTTATCTGTGACACTGACATCACAGCCTCCAAACACCTACTGTTTATCTGTGACACTGACATCCACATGGTATGTGTATCATATTGCCATGGTGTTGATACAGCTTTTGTTTATTCATAAGGCTGATATCCACATGTCCACACACACACATACACCCTTAGACATATTTGAATTGTACCTTTTTTCCACAGCATTCATACTGGAGCAGAGCAAGAGACATACTTTACTACTGGCCTGAGTGGATATTTAACTTCCTCTTTGTTGCCCTTCACTGCGGCCTTACCTTCGGGATGGAGGTACCACACTGTCCGAAGTAAGTGTTCTTAGTTAAATAATGCAAATGACTGATGATAAGTATATTACTTTATAGAATTTTCTCATAATCTGTACAAGGTGGAAATATTTCATTCCTTTTATATTGTAAGCTGGAAAATAAAGAATAGTTTGAATAAGGTTTATCGATTATGTAAATCTCCTGATTCAGACACCTAAATATAATATGTATGATAGACTGTGTTCATCAGTTACCTGTATAAACCCTTGGTTGGTATGATAGACTGTGTTTATCAGTTACCTGTATAAACCCTTGGTTGGTATGATAGACTGTGTTTATCAGTTACCTGTATAAACCCTTGGTTGGTATGATAGACTGTGTTTATCAGTTACCTGTATAAACCCTTGGTTGGTATGATAGACTGTGTTTATCAGTTACCTGTATAAACCCTTGGTTGGTATGATAGACTGTGTTTATCAGTTACCTGTATAAACCCTTGGTTGGTATGATAGACTGTGTTTATCAGTTACCTGTATAAACCCTTGGTTGGTATGATAGACTGTGTTTATCAGTTACCTGTATAAACCCTTGGTTGGTATGATAGACTGTGTTTATCAGTTACCTGTATAAACCCTTTGGTTGGTATGATAGACTGTGTTTATCAGTTACCTGTATAAACCCTTGGTTGGTATGACAGACTGTGTTTATCAGTTACTTGTATAAACCCTTGGTTGGTATGATAGACTGTGTTTATCAGTTACCTGTATAAACCCTTGGTTGGTATGATAGACTGTGTTTATCAGTTACCTGTATAAACCATTTGTTGGTATGATAGACTGTGTTTATCAGTTACCTGTATAAACCCTTGGTTGGTATGATAGACTGTGTTTATCAGTTACCTGTATAAACCCTTGGTTGGTATGATAGACTGTGTTTATCAGTTACCTGTATAAACCCTTTGGTTGGTATGATAGACTGTGTTTATCAGTTACCTGTATAAACCCTTGGTTGGTATGATAGACTGTGTTTATCAGTTACCTGTATAAACCCTTGGTTGGTATGATAGACTGTGTTTATCAGTTACCTGTATAAACCCTTTGTTGGTATGATAGACTGTGTTTATGTTTATCAGTTACCTGTATAAACCCTTGATTGGTATGATAGACTGTGTTGGTATCAGTTAGACTGTGTTTATCAGTTACCTGTATAAACCCTTGGTTGGTATGATAGACTGTGTTTATCAGTTACCTGTATAAACCCTTGGTTGGTATGATAGACTGTGTTTATCAGTTACCTGTATAAACCCTTGGTTGGTATGATAGACTGTGTTTATCAGTTACCTGTATAAACCCTTGGTTGGTATGATAGACTGTGTTTATCAGTTACCTGTATAAACCCTTGGTTGGTATGATAGACTGTGTTTATCAGTTACCTGTATAAACCCTTGGTTGGTATAGCAGACTGTGTTTATCAGTTACCTGTATAAACCCTTGGTTGGTATGATAGACTGTGTTTATCAGTTACCTGTATAAACCCTTGGTTGGTATGATAGACTGTGTTTATCAGTTACCTGTATAAACCCTTGGTTGGTATGATAGACTGTGTTTATCAGTTACCTGTATAAACCATTTGTTGGTATGATAGACTGTGTTTATCATTTACCTGTATAAACCCTTGGTGGTATGATAGACTGGTTTATCAGATAGATAGACTGTGTTTATCAGTTACCTGTATAAACCCTTGTTATATATGATAGACTGTGTTCAGTTACCATGTATATATATCAGTTACCTGTATAAACCCTTGGTTGGTATATAGACTGTGTTTATCATACCTGTATAAACCCTTGGTTGGTATGATAGACTGTGTTTATATATACAACTGTATAAATCCTACATGTAAGGTTGGTATGATAACTGTGTATATATATATAAACCCTGGTTGTATGATAGACTGTGTTTATCAGGTTGGTATATATATATATACAACAATCCTACATGTAAGGTAGGTATAAACCATTTATATATATACAACAGTCCTACATGTAAGGTAGGTAACATGTATATATACAACAGTCCTACATGTAAGGTAGGTACCATTTATATATATATATATAACATACCATTTATACATATATAGGTACATGTAAGGTATTATATATACACCAATCCTACATGTAAGGTAGGTACCATTTATATATATACAACAGTCCTACATGTAAGGTAGGTACCATTTATATATATACAACAATCCTACATGTAAGGTAGGTAACATGTATATATACAACAATCCTACATGTAAGGTAGGTAACATGTATATATACAACAATCCTACATGTAAGGTAGGTAACATGTATATATACAACAATCCTACATGTAAGGTAGGTAACATGTATATATACAACAATCCTACATGTAAGGTAGGTAACATCTATATATACAACAATCCTACATGTAAGGTAGGTAACATCTATATATATACAACAATCCTACATGTAAGGTAGGTACCATATATATATATACAACAATCCTACATGTAAGGTAGGTACCATATATATATACAACAATCCTACATGTAAGGTAGGTACTATATATATATATAACATCCTACATGTAAGGTAGGTACCATATATATATACAACAATCCTACATGTAAGGTAGGTAACATATATATATATATACAACAATCCTACATGTAAGGTAGGTACTATATATATATATAACATCCTACATGTAAGGTAGGTATATATATATACAACAATCCTACATGTAAGGTAGGTACCATTTATATATATACACCAATCCTACATGTAAGGTAGGTACCATTTATATATATACAACAATCCTACATGTAAGGTAGGTACCATTTATATATATACAACAATCCTACATGTAAGGTAGGTACCATTTATATATATACACCAATCCTACATGTAAGGTAGGTACAACAATCCTACATGTATATCTATATATATAACATCCTACATGTAAGGTAGGTACTATATATATATATACAACAATCCTACATGTAAGGTAGGTACCATGTATATATATACACCAATCCTACATGTAAGGTAGGTAACATCTATATATACAACAATCCTACATGTAAGGTAGGTACCATTTATATATATATATAACATCCTACATGTAAGGTAGGTACCATTTATATATATACAACAATCCTACATGTAAGGTAGGTACCATTTATATATATATATAACATCCTACCATTTATATATATACACCAATCCTACATGTAAGGTAGGTACCATTTATATATATACAACAATCCTACATGTAAGGTAGGTACTATATATATATATAACATCCTACATGTAAGGTAGGTACCATTTATATATATACAACAATCCTACATGTAAGGTAGGTACCATTTATATATATATATAACATCCTACATGTAAGGTAGGTAACATTTATATATATACACCAATCCTACATGTAAGGTAGGTAACATTTATATATACACCAATCCTACATGTAAGGTAGGTACCATTTATATATATATATATAACATCCTACATGTAAGGTAGGTACCATTTATATATATACACCAATCCTACATGTAAGGTAGGTACCATTTATATATATACACCAATCCTACATGTAAGGTAGGTACTATATATATATATAACATCCTACATGTAAGGTAGGTACCATTATATATATACACCAATCCTACATGTAAGGTAGGTACCATTTATATATATACACCAATCCTACATGTAAGGTAGGTACCATTTATATATATACACCAATCCTACATGTAAGGTAGGTACCATTTATATATATACACCAATCCTACATGTAAGGTAGGTACTATATATATGTATATATATATATATACAACAATCCTACATGTAAGGTAGGTACCATATATATATATATATATAACATCCTACATGTAAGGTAGGTAACATTTATATATACACCAATCCTACATGTAAGGTAGGTACCATTTATATATATATACACCAATCCTACATGTAAGGTAGGTACCATTTATATATATACACCAATCCTACATGTAAGGTAGGTACCATTTATATATATACACCAATCCTACATGTAAGGTAGGTACTATATATATATATATAACATCCTACATGTAAGGTAGGTACCATTTATATATATACACCAATCCTACATGTAAGGTAGGTACCATTTATATATATATATACACCAATCCTACATGTAAGGTAGGTACCATTTATATATATACACCAATCCTACATGTAAGGTAGGTACTATATATATATATAACATCCTACATGTAAGGTAGGTACCATTTATATATATACACCAATCCTACATGTAAGGTAGGTACTATATATATATATATATATATAACATCCTCCATGTAAGTTAGGTAACATTTATATATACAACAATCCTACATGTAAGGTAGGTACCATTTATATATATACACCAATCCTACATGTAAGGTAGGTACCATTTATATATACAACAATCCTACATGTAAGGTAGGTACTATATATATATATAACATCCTACATGTAAGGTAGGTAACATTTATATATACAACAATCCTATATGTAAGGTAGGTACCATTTATATATATATATACACCAATCCTACATGTAAGGTAGGTAACATTTATATATATATATACACCAATCCTACATGTAAGGTAGGTACCATATATATATACAACAATCCTATATGTAAGGTAGGTACCATATATATATACAACAATCCTACATGTAAGGTAGGTACCATTTTGCCAGTCTATAGGTGGGTGTACTTGATACCCTCTGAATTCAGCACTATATGTGTACTCATTTACTACATTTTCTTATTATTTTCATGAAGTTTTTGCCACAAAAAGATTGATGAGAAAAAGCAAAGGTAACTTGTTTGTCTAAAATGAAAATCTCACCTTTATAGATTCAATTACCTGTGGATTTGCCTCTTGTCAACAAAGTTGCCTTTTTTTTTTTTAACAGGAAATTTACAACACGAAAACTCCGTATGATCCTGAAGGGATTCTGGGAACAATTACCTCATGTTTTATGTGTTTCCTTGGATTACAGGTAAAATACAAAACACAGTAAACCTAGTCATTGTATCTTACCTCTAATTGTTGAGTTGACATTATGTTCCAAGATATGACTTGTCTCTCTTTATATGACCTGTTGTTACTGTTGAAGTGACCTGTTGTTACTGTTTAAATGACCTGTTGTTACTGTTGAAGTGACCTGTTGTTACTGTTGAAGTGACCGGTTGTTACTGTTGAAGTGACCTGTTGTTACTGTCGAAATGACTTGTTGTTACTGTTGAAGTGACATGTTGTTACAGTAAATGTGACCAGATGATAATATTGATGTGACCTGTTGTTACAGTAAATGTGACCAGATGATACTATTAATGTGACCTGTTGTTACAGTAAATGTGACCAGATGATACTATTAATGTGACCTGTTGTTACAGTAAATGTGACCAGATGATACTATTAATGTGACCTGTTGTTACAGTAAATGTGACCAGATGATACTATTAATGTGACCTGTTGTTACAGTAAATGTGACCAGATGATACTATTAATGTGACCTGTTGTTACAGTAAATGTGACCAGATTATAATATTGATGTGACCTGTTGTTACAGTAAATGTGACCAGATGATAATATTAATGTGACCTGTTGTTACAGTAAATGTGACCAGATGATAATATTGATGTGACCTGTTGTTACAGTAAATGTGACCAGATGATAATACTGATGTGACCTGTTGTTACAGTAAATGTGACCAGATGATACTATTGATGTGACCTGTTGTTACAGTAAATGACCAGATGATACTATTAATGTGACCTGTTGTTACAGTAAATGTGACCAGATGATACTATTAATGTGACCTGTTGTTACAGTAAATGTGACCAGATGATACTATTAATGTGACCTGTTGTTACAGTAAATGTGACCAGATTATAATATTGATGTGACCTGTTGTTACAGTAAATGTGACCAGATGATACTATTAATGTGACCTGTTGTTACAGTAAATGTGACCAGATGATAATATTGATGTGACCTGTTGTTACAGTAAATGTGACCAGATGATAATACTGATGTGACCTGTTGTTACAGTAAATGTGACCAGATGATACTATTGATGTGACCTGTTGTTACAGTAAATGACCAGATGATACTATTAATGTGACCTGTTGTTACAGTAAATGTGACCAGATTATAATATTGATGTGACCTGTTGTTACAGTAAATGTGACCAATTGATGATACTAAATGACCAGATGATACTATTAATGTGACCTGTTGTTACAGTAAATGTGACCAGATGATAATATTGATGTGACCTGTTGTTACAGTAAATGTGACCAGATTATAATATTGATGTGACCTGTTGTTACAGTAAATGTGACCAGATGATACTATTGATGTGACCTGTTGTTACAGTAAATGTGACCAGATGATAATATTGATGATATATATTTTCTGGTATTTTATCAATGAATATTTGCTACTCATTGTCAAAAAATGTTCATATGCCTAAAAAGTAGGGAAAAATATTTTAAAACTCTCAATTTGTAATGAACTTTTTTACAGGCAGGGAAAATCCTTTTGTATTTCAAAGATGTAAGAGGTCGTGTTGTGCGTTTCCTGTCTTGGGGGTTTGTACTAGTAAGTGATTTTTACTGATGGAATATTTTTGCTGTGATATCTTCTCGATTCATAAGTTTCCTTATTGCCCTGACGCAGCATTTGTCATACATCAGCTCTTCTTTAACTTTCCGAAAGACAGAAGCTCCATCAATTTTAATTCTATAACAATTTTAAAGTTTACATCAATGTCATGGATGAAGTACATGACTTTCAGACTTCTGATTTGAAGTACTATCAACATATCAGCTCACCTTAGAGGTCACAGGGGTTATGATATCATAGAATTAGATATTTCACCTGTTACTTGCTAACATATCAGACTATCGTATGTATTTGTTAATAACACCAACTCACGTTTATTGTCAGATATATGAGTTCTGTAACTCCTACACCAAAAGTTCAGTGATACAGGTCCATTGGGCCTCTTGTTAGAGATTGCATTTCATGCCCCAAGAACTTTTTAATGTTTTTATTTAGAATTTTGAATCATGAAATTTGACTTTTACAGTGCCTGATTGCTGCCATTTTGTGTAAATTTAGCAAAGACGATGGTTGGATCCCTATCAATAAAAATCTCTGGTTTGTATTTGACAAGGTGTCTCCTTGATTGAATTGTCCTCTACATATATGTATCACTAAAAGATACAAGGATTTAGGTAGTGGAGTCCATGTTATAAGTATTAGTATGTTGGGTTGTAGGTTCTTTTACTCTTCAGCTGGATACCTGGGAGTGTCCAGGGTGATTGAGCAGTCAGGAAAATCAAGTGAGAAATATCAATTAAAACAGCATCAGAGTAGGTACTTTAGTTTACTTATTACTGTCTACTGGTTTTGCTTCTCCGGGCTTCAACAGGACGACAACTACAGATTTCTCATGACATAAAATACTGGAAATGTGGTACCCTATTCTATAAAGAGTGGGTATAGTATTAAGATGTGTATCTTATAACACTTACAAGTTACCAGTTAGTATAATCAATATTCAATCTTGTCCATTACAGTTATAAAAGTTCATATCATCTTACACATTGCAAAATACCTATAGTTATTGCCATTCATCAAGACATACTGTTGACATTGATTTAGACACATACAGGGTAGTTGTAAGTTTGGTAATCTCTGGTTTCACAAAGTACAAAGTACATATACAAAATACAAAGTATTCTCAGCTTTTATGGCATTTTCTTGGTATTGACCATGTTAAGTTATCCCATTCAGACCTTCCTGTACCTTCTCTGATGCTGTTGTGACTGATATTTCTGACTACAAAATATATTTACGTTATTGAAACATTTAATTCAAATGTCTTGTTTTACACTGAATTACCAAAATTCTGTCCATAAAAGATATAATGATAAATTTAATGAAAGATTTTACCACCCTGATATTACAAAACTTTTTTTCACTAACTAAATTTATTATCATTTAGTTCAATCCATCTAAGAGACTAAACTCTATTTTACTGTTAAGGTCTCTGTCCTTCGTGCTCTGCCTTGCTGGGATGGCCTTCATAATCTTGACAGTGTGTTATCTCACAATAGATGTGTGGAAAATATGGAATGGAGCACCATTTTACTATCCAGGTAAATCTATTGTTTCAACATATTGGAAAGCCAAGTTAATATCCCAATTCTGAACTGATCAAATTAGCAGTAGTAAGCCTTGTAGATGTTGTTAATATGTAACTGTTTATACGCCTGTAGTAATTTGTAAGTGACTTGCCAAGCATGACCCTATCTATTTATGGCTTATTCTCTCCAATATGTTAAACCAGAAACTAACATTCTATCAATTTATACTGAAAATCATTTTTACATGATCACACCATTGACATGAAAAAAAAAGAGTCCTTTGCTATGTTGTCTTAGGAATGAATTCCATCTTCATGTACATGGCACATGAGGTGCTAGACAACAGCTTTCCAGTGAGTTTCTCGGTCAAGGCTAACCACTCCCAAAAGCTGGCTATGAACCTGTGGGGGCCAGTGTTCTGGTGTGCCATCACTTTCATGATGCATGAGAAGAAAATCTTCATTTCTGTTTAACACTATCATATATCTGGTGGTACGATTTCATTTATCACCTTTACAACACAGTATTTATACCTCTTAGCACTTTTTACCTGTATATTTAATGGTACAGTATTACTCCTCACCTTCACCACTCAGTATCTACCTCCCAACACTGTCTACATGTATATTTAATGGTACGGTATTACTTCTCACGTTCACCACTCAGTATCTACCTCCCAACACTGTCTACATGTATATTTAATGGTACGGTATTACTCCTCACCTTCACCACTCAGTATCTACCTCCCAACACTGTCTACATGTATATTTAATGGTACGGTATTACTCCTCACGTTCACCACTCAGTATCTACCTCCCAACACTGTCTACATGTATATTTAATGGTACAGTATTACTCCTCACCTTCACCACTCAGTATCTACCTCCCAACACTGTCTACTTGTATATCTAGTGGTACAGTATTACTCCTCACCTTCACCACTCAGTATCTACCTCCCAACACTGTCTACATGTATATTTAATGGTACAGTATTACTCCTCACCTTCACCACTCAGTATCTACCTCCCAACACTGTCTACATGTATATTTAATGGTACGGTATTACTCCTCACATTCACCACTCAGTATCTACCTCCCGGCACTGTCTACATGTATATCTAGTGGTACAGTATTACTCCTCACCTTCACCACTCAGTATCTACCTCCCAACACTGTCTACATGTATATTTAATGGTACAGTATTACTCCTCACCTTCACCACTCAGTATTTACCTCCCAACACTGTCTACATGTATATTTAATGGTACAGTATTACTCCTCACCTTCACCACTCAGTATCTACCTCCCAACACTGTCTACATGTATATTTAATGGTACAGTATTACTCCTCACCTTCACCACTCAGTATCTACCTCCCAACACTGTCTACATGTATATTTAATGGTACAGTATTACTCCTCACCTTCACCACTCAGTATCTACCTCCCAACACTGTCTACATGTATATTTAATGGTACAGTATTACTCCTCACCTTCACCACTCAGTATCTACCTCCCAACACTGTCTACATGTATATTTAATGGTACGGTATTACTCCTCACGTTCACCACTCAGTATCTACCTCCCAGCACTGTCTACATGTATATCTAGTGGTACATGATTAGTTCTCATCTTAACCACTCACTATCTACCTCCGAACACTTTTCTACCTTTATATCTGAAGGTGCGATGTTGTGTTGTTTCTCACTTTTACCCCACAGTATCTACCTCCCAACACTGTCTGCCTGTATATATTCTCACCTTTACCCCACAGTATCTACCTCCCAACAATGTCTGCCTGTATATATTCTCACCTTTACCCCACAGTATCTACCTCCCAACAATGTCTGCCCGTACATATTCTCACCTTTACCACACACTATCTACCTCCCAACAATGTCTGCCCGTACATATTCTCACCTTTACCCCACAGTATCTACCTTCCAACAATGTCTGCCCGTACATATTCTCACCTTAACCACACACTATCTACCTCCCAACAATGTCTGCCTGTACATATTCTCACCTTTACCCCACAGTATCTACCTCCCAGCAATGTCTGCCTGTATATATTCTCACTTTTACCTTGCTCCTTAACAACACTCCTTATTGCCACACTTAAGCCCTATAATCCTCCTGCCTGTTTGGTTAAAGTCAACTCCTCTGTGGATCCTGACAGTTAATCATAATTGTATGGTCATTACAGCATACAGCGATCATTTGAAATGTTTTGTTTTTGTCCCACCTTATCTGTGAAATAAACCCTGATTTCTGTTGATATCTTTACTGGAATGGAGGGGTAATTTTCTGTATGTTATACAGGAGAACTTTAGGGTTTTCTTGAAAACGTTTTTCAGAAGTAAAGATTGAGTAAGGAATATTATTTGTTTCCCTTGTATTGAGTCATGTTTGATGTCAGATTCCTCCACTTCCATCAATTGTTAGCTCACCTGGCCCAAAGTGAACTTAAGTTGTGGTGCGACATCCATCTTCAATCTGGTGTCAACTTTTTACTTCAGACAACTTCTTCACAATAACAAAAAGGCCCAGGGTACTGATCTTGTGTTTAAAAATCTTCAAACAACTTCTTCTCAGTGAGGGAAAGGCTAGTGAAAATGAAATTGGGCATTTAGCATACTGGGAAAAAGGAGTAACAAGATTGTTCAAATGAATGACCTTAACCCACTTTCAAGGTCACAGTCATACTTAAATCTTCAAGTGGTTAGCTTCTATTCTATTGACATTAGCAACCTGAAAAAAAGTTCTAAAATACTAAGTGATGTTGTCAGAAAAGATAGATATATGAATTCTTGCGGTATAACAGTATACAACAGAGACTGGGAGTAATAGGAACAAGAGGCCTAATGGGCCTGCATCACTCACCTACTATTCAATGTTAATTAAAAATAGCATCAGTGTTAATATCACAAGTATATTGACATGTTCACCATTGGCATTCAAGGTAAGTACATCCAAAGTGGTTGACCAGTGAGAAGGGGTACCAGCACTGATGTATGTAGTGTACGAGATGGTAAGGAATTGACTTTTTCAGCTTTACTACGATCCTAAATACACTAAGGTAGAAAATAGTGTTAGAAGATGGTAAAAATATTATGGAATATGGTGTACAAGAGGGTAACAATGTATTCAATTCAGCTATGCTTTGTTGAACACTAGGTCAAAACACACACAATTCCTTAAACTAAAGAAAATAGATAAAATTACTTAATCCCATTAAAAACTGAATCCAAGAAATTATGTCCATAAACATCAGGAATGATGTCCACTGTACTTATCCATAAACATCAGGAATGATGTCCACTGTACTTATCCTGACATAGCTAAATCAGCTATGATACATTGCTAGCATCTTGTGTATTTTGCCCCCTCCTTACAGTCTGTTTACCATCTCATCACACCATTGCCAACCTTAGTTTACACGGGATCATAGTACAGCAGTCGGTCGATTCCTTACCAAATTGTACACTACATACATCAGTGCTAGTACATTTGACACTGGTCATCAGTGTATTACAGTGAAGTTATTGAAACATCACACTAAAATCTTCCACTGGTTGTGTTATGTGAACATCTATTAACACTTGATTATGTGTTGTTTATAGCTCATTATATGTACAGGTGTATCTACAAGGTGATTTTATTTCATTTTAAACATTACTGCTAGTAAGTAGACTAACATAGAAAGTAGAAATTTCAGGAGACACCATTAGTACTTATTGCTACTGATGTTTTATTTTATAGGAATGAACTCCATTCTTGTGTACATGGGCCATGAGGTGCTACACAATGCCTTCCCTGTAAAGTGGGCGGTGCCCCAAACACATGCATCACTCCTGCCTCTTAACCTCTGGGGCACATTCTTCTGGGTTTTTGTTGCCATATTCCTCTTCTGTAGAAAGGTCTTCATAGCTATCTAATCCGAACTGCAGGAGGAGCCACCTCAGGTAGCCCAACCAATCATGATTTGTCGGGGAAAGGGATTTCTTCGGTGTAACAGTTTTATGTGATTCACCAATCAAAGTGCAAATTCCAAAAAGAGTGTGGACTTAATGTGATAAACTGAATTCTTTGTGATGTGATTTGATAATCAAAAATGCAATTAGATTTTGAAGAACATTTCCATGGTTTGCATTTGGAGATGCTAGTGAAATTATTTGATTTTAAAAAAATCTGTGGAACATTGATGCATTTTTAACCTGTTGATATATGCAAGAAATATGAAACTGTGGGTGAAATGACTTTTATTATAAATACAAAGTTAACTGTTATGATGACCATATTAGGAAGATGTTCAGCTTTACAATTAGTTTTTACAGTTACTTTCTGATTATTTCACATTTTCTAAGTATGCTGCAAAATGTAATGCTATTTTAATATCTGTGCCACAGAAACTTTGCACACATTTCATTGTTGATAGACATTATATATTTTTTGAGTAGTGTATATGTGATTTATAAGCCTGTATCTTACCAGTTTATCAGCTGTCATTTGACCCTCAACACACTTTGTAGTTTTTGTTTTAATGGCTTCCTGAGTAATCAGTATGAATCTGTTTTTGAACTTCATTGCAAAAGAGATTGATTTGAATTGTTGACAAGGCACATGCCTATTAATTTATGTTGTTGTTTGTTTTCTTTTGACTTTGTTTTCTATAAACTTTATTGTTTAGTACAAGGTTATTATAGTACATGTTGATTTTTTTTTTTTAAATTGTTGAAGACACCCATGAAACATGTTAGAGGGGAGACAACTCCCACAATATGGTGTCCCTAGTATTCCATGGTGTGCAGCTGATGTGTCTCTGATACAAGGATGTCATACAAACTATAATAATGTTACCATGGAAACAGAAATGACCAATTAGTTAGAAAGTATGTTTTCTGATTGTGGTGAGTGTATTGTGGATACATTGGAATGGATGAGATAGCTTAGCTTGTACATGTTATTTTGTGCCAAACTTACAGCATCATTTACTAACTTGTGCCAGAGAAAGAAATGTAAAGTTATAGAGTTTGTATATAAATGTATCCTCATTGGAAAATGTCCATAGCATTGTATGCAAACTTACACCTGATGTAAATTATACTGATAAATTTTGTACTACACTTTGAAGTATAACCTCTTTATAGTAGATAAAAAAATTGTATGTGATGAAAATGTTTGATTAGTGTGAATAAAATGAAGACATGGATACATTATAAGGTTGTTGTGGAAGTTAGTAGTATTGTTAGGTCATTATAGATCTGAGACAAACATTATTTATTATAAACTGGTGCAACATATCACAATGATTTGCACAGTGATGCTTCTTTTACACCGGAAAAGAAACACTGTACCAATTTTGGTTATAAATCCAAGGAGGTTCTGATTTTAAAAATGACTTACCCGCCAGGTAGCTGAAGGACAATGTCATGGGGTCCAAATAATGGATATATATGTTCCACCAAATTTTTCAAACTGCTTTCCACATTTCATCCACATGTTATCAGTAGAAGTTTGAGCCCCAAGTGGATCAAAAGTTATGCCAGTAGAGAGGGTAACACTGTCCACATTGAAGTGTAAGTTTGCTGAAGATGACATTATCTCCCACAATGTAATTAAAAGTAGGAGCCTGTTTAATGCATTGTGATAAAACTACACAAACAAGGAGCTGAGAAGTTGGTACAAAAAATACAATTTACTGAGAGTCAAGAGGAGTCAAGAATCTGTATAAGGATATCTGTTATGTTTAAACTGGGATCCAAAAATAGATATACCAACATGAGTTTGGCTGTACCATGTTTAGCACTTGGTTTTTAACATTTGTATTGTTAAATAAAACACTTGCGTTAGATAATAAAATTTAGCCAATCCTCTAGTTCATTGCAAATTTAGATATTAAAGTGAATGATGTAGGTCCAACTGTATAGGTATGTATGGGATTTATGTGATAGAGATCGATGACGAGGAAATAAGTGTAGATGTTATGTTATTTACTGATTTTTCATCCTGGTAATATCTATTGTCAACTATAGACTGTAAACATGGTTTTTTGATATTTCTTGTTCTATGATAAAGTACATTTCTATTGTATATCATTTATTGTGACTAGTATCATAACAAAATGGCACAAACATTTACACCAACATTTACACAAACATTTACACTAACATTTACACTAACATTTACACTCACATTTACACTAATACATTTACACTGACATTTACACCAACATTTACAACAACATTTACACCAACATTTACAACAACATTTACACTAACATTTACACTCACATTTACACTAATACATTTACACTGACATTTACACCAACATTTACAACAACATTTACACCAACATTTACAACAACATTTACACTAACATTTACACTAACATTTACACTCACATTTACACTCACATTTACACTAACATTTACACCAACCTTTACACCAACCTTTACACAAACATTTACACCAACATTTACACTGACATTTACACCAACATTTACAACAACATTTACACTAACATTTACACTAACATTTACACTCACATTTACACTAACATTTACACCAACATTTACACCAACATTTACACTGACATTTACACCAACATTTACAACAACATTTACACCAACATTTACACCAACATTTACACCAACCTTTACACCAACATTTACACCAACATTTACACCTACATTTACACTTACATTTACACTAACATTTACACCAACCTTTACACCAACCTTTACACAAACATTTACACAAACATTTACACTAACATTTACACTAACATTTACACTAACATTTACACTAACTTTTACACCAACATTCACCAGAGATACTGTTTATCAGGATCGTTCTTTCCAAGATCTTTTCATACTTACAAATATTTTATTTTATAGATGGAAGTACTGAATAACCTAAACTGTGTCTATGTTTCTTCTCATTACATATATTTAATGGCTGGCTGTTACTTTACATTTTCCTTGAAGCCTTACTGACATGACACAATGAATTTTTAGGTCTGTTTAAAACAATAGATTTACCGAAGTATCTGTACTTATAAAATTACTTAAAGCCAGATGAAGAAGTAAGGTTATATACATGCAAGGATACCACCCAATCCAACTCAAAGGTATTTTAGACTACCACAGATGTAAATATGCATGTGCAAGGATTTTACGTAGCCACAATAGAGTTATGAAGTCATTCCATTTTATTTTGCATGTTGAAGATGTACTTGGTGCTATATATTTACATATGATCATACAACCTAACCTTGATTTGTATCACACACAATAAATATTTGTTACAGACTCTGTCAGTTGTTTGTGTTATTGTAAATGTTGTTTCTTACCTTTGCTTGCACCACGCATTCATCAACAAAATTAACTGCTACACAGCAATTTCCTTAGGAAGCTGAATGTCCAGAACTATCATATCATGCAACCGACTACTGTAACAAAGTGTAAATACTATCTACTGACCACCAACCGACTACCGTAACAAAGTGTAAATACTATCTACTGACTACCAACTGACTACCATAACAGAGTGTAAATACTATCTACTGACTACCAACAGACTACCGTAACAGAGTGTAAATACTATCTACTGACTACCAACAGACTACCGTAACAGAGTGTAAATACTATCTACTGACCACCAACCAACTACCGTAACAAAGTGTAAATACTATCTACTGACCACCAACAGACTACCGTAACAGAGTGTAAATACTATCTACTGACTACCAACAGACTACCGTAACAGAGTGTAAATACTATCTACTGACCACCAACCAACTACCGTAACAAAGTGTAAATACTATCTACTGACCACCAACTGACTACCGTAACAGAGTGTAAATACTATCTACTGACTACAGACTACCATAACAGAGTGTAAATACTATCTACTGACTACCAACAGACTACCGTAACAGAGTGTAAATACTATCTACTGACCACCAACAGACTACCGTAACAAAGTGTAAATACCATCTACTGACCACCAACAGACTACCGTAACAAAGTGTAAATACTATCTACTGACCACCAAAAGACTACCATAACAGAGTGTAAATACCATCTACTGACCACCAACAGACTACCGTAACAGAGTGTAAATACTGTCTACTGACCACCAACAGACTACCGTAACAGAGTGTAAATACTATCTACTGACCATCAACTGACTACCTTAACAGAGTGTAAATACCATCTACAGACTACCGTAACAGAGTGTAAATATCATCTACTGACCACCAACAGACTACGGTAACAAAGTGTAAATACCATCTACTGACCACCAACAGACTACCGTAACAGAGTGTAAATACTATCTACTGACCACCAACAGACTACCGTAACAGAGTGTAAATATCATCTACTGACCACCAACAGACTACCGTAACAGAGTGTAAATATCATCTACTGACGACCAACTGACTACCATAACAGAGTGTAAATATCATCTACTGATCACCAACAGACTACCGTAACAGAGTATAAATACTATCTACTGACCACCAACAGACATTATGACATTGGGTAGGAGGGGGCATCTGATCCTGTAGCTGAAGAAGATACGGTATCTCCTGATGCTAAAATTGACCAGTAGAAGTATGTAAAAACCTCTACACTACAGAATACAGAGGTATTTAGATATGATGTGTGTTTTGGATACAATTCTGAAATATGCTCAAATTGAATGTTTTGAGTTCTTTTAATCATCAAACAAAATCAAAATATGGAATTTCAGAGAAACCACACAAGTTTATTAACATGTTATCAACTAATGCTTAAAGAATTCCATATCTGCTGATCAGACTAGGTGATCATGGAGAAAAATACCCTTACCAGTCAAAGAACCAGCACAAATAAAACCACTTGAGCCCGACACAGATAATGAAAAATTAATGGATGATAAAGATACAAGAATTAATGATGATGTGTTTGCTAAATCCGATTAGTGTCCTTCTTTGGAAACACTAGAGTGAACTGTGAGCCCCTTTCTTCACCCAGAGGGACAGAACTTTGGGCACCATTCATCTCGAAGGATTTTTACAGTCCTAATACACTAGTACCAAGCATGAAACGGCATATGTTTTTCATTTCCAACTCTTCTCAAGACAGTTATGATTAAGGGTTGTAAGGCCAAGATCAAGGTCAACTTTAGTATTTTTCTAAAATTCTGTAAACAAGCTGGTGGTTTCACTCCTCGAGGGATTTCAATCAAACTTTATTAAAGTTTAGAGGCTCCATTCCTTGAATGATTTTGGTCAAACGTCATAAACTTTGACATCTTCTTTATTGAGCTTTAGTCAATATGGACCAACACGGGGATAGGTACAGTCTGTGATACCTTGTTACCCTGATGTTATCACAAGACTTAATTTCACATCTTAATTTTTCTCTCTATTGAAAAAAAAGTGAAATAATGAAAATATGTTCAAGAAACATGGATGTATATAAGTAAATATATCTTATTTCTTCCTGCCGCACATTGTCAGGTGATTAGTACACAGCTGTATAGGAACAGTGTTTTTCTAGAGATGCTATTTTATCATCGCGAGACAATAAAAAGTTGAAAGACGTACTGTTGTAGACACATTCATTCTGCAGTGAAAAGAATTATGTATCTATGTTATCAATCCCATCCTTAAGAAATAAGAGTTTGTGTGGTAGTTTTGAAAAAGCCATGCATGAAATCTCATTTGTTGCTTTTTATTTAAATATATATATATAACCCTCATTCATTATCCTGAGTCATCTTTGATTATTATGTAAATATTATCACTTTTTTCCATTTGTCTTTGATTCAGTAACCCCTCTGTTCTAGTTTAAATAACATAAAGATAACAGATTGAGGAAAATGTCACATATTTTATTATAATGATGATAATAAAACACACTAACAATTATAGTGAAAAATGATAGGTACAATATATATGTAACTAGTAAATAATGAAATAAACATTGCAATAAATAAGAGTGGTGACCAGCAATTCATATTATCATATATAAGTTAAGAATTGACAAAGTGTCGTGGCAGCCACCAGTTTGAAACAGTGTTTGATATAATTAACTATAACTATATTAAAGTGACATGTACCATATTACCATGGTGTATACTATATCAAAGTGACATGTACCATATTACCGTGGTGTATACTATATCAAAGTGACATGTACCATATTACAGAAGTATATACTATATCAAAGTGACATGTACCATATTACAGAAGTATATACTATATCAAAGTGACATGTACTATATTACAGAAGTGTATACTATATCAAAGTGACATGTACCATATTACAGAAGTGTATACTATATCAAAGTGACATGTACCATATTACCGTGGTGTATACTATATCAGAGTGACATGTACCATATTACAGTGGTGTATACTATATCAAAGTGACATGTACCATATTACAGTAGTATATACTATGTCAAAGTGACATGTACCATATTACAGTGGTGTATACTATATCAAAGTGACATGTACCATATTACAGAAGTATATACTATATCAAAGTGACATGTACCATATTACCGTGGTGTATACTATATCAGAGTGACATGTACCATATTACAGTGGTGTATACTATATCAAAGTGACATGTACCATATTACAGAAGTATATACTATATCAAAGTGACATGTACCATATTACCGTGGTGTATACTATATCAAAGTGACATGTACCATATTACCATGGTATATACTATATCAAAGTGACATGTACCATATTACAGAAGTGTATACTATATCAAAGTGACATGTACCATATTACCATGGTGTATACTATATCAAAGTGACATGTACCATTTTACAGTGGTGTATACTATATCAAAGTGACATGTACCATATTACAGAAGTGTATACTATATCAAAGTGACATGTACCATATTACAGTGGTGTATACTATATCAAAGTGACATGTACCATATTACCGTGGTGTATACTATATCAAAGTGACATGTACCATATTACAGAAGTGTATACTATATCAAAGTGACATGTACCATATTACATTTTATGTACCATATAAAAGTGACACATACCACATTAAAATGATATTATGTTACAATGGCATTTACAATATTCAAGTGACATATAACATATTAAAACATGTGTCATGTAAGTGACAGAATTTTACAAATCACAACAGTTTCAAAAAAGGATTTTAGACATAATGCTGCGATAAAAACGTTCTCGAGTAGACAGAAGGTCAATGCAGCCCAATAAAAAATATTTAACGTTGAATGGCTCATCACATCCTATGCACCAAGGATTATCTTCGCCTTTCAACATATATGAATGTGTAAGGTATGTATGACCCATCCGAAGACGGGCAAGGACAACTTCGTCTCGGTGGTTGTCTCTATATCCTGGAGACCATTCACCGATAACAGGTTTAACGGAGTGCAATTTGTTATCGGTATAGGTATTCCAATCCTCCTGCCACTGAGCTCTTAAATTTGTTTAATAAATGGTTTAAAATCGGCAAAATGAAATTTAAAAACAACAGGTGGTAGCGATAAAGCTTCCTTTGCGGCACGATCTGCTTTTTCATTGCCTGGTATTCCCATGTGACCAGGAACCCAGCAAAAAGCAATAAGAAAGTTAAAGGCAAGTTCATGATATAGTATTAAGGAATTACGAATATTTCTATAAAGACTGTAGTACAGAAAGAGAGTCTAAATGGATAACAGATGTCATTACTTTGTTTCTTTGAATATATTCAAGGGCGAGGTAGATAGCTCGCGCTTCTGCCGTGAATATTGAGGCGTTGTTCGGTAGCCGGCATCCATAGGTTTTATCTTGTGTAACCATGGCCGCAACAACCTTATCATTATCTTTTGAACCATCAGTATATAAATGTAGAAATGTTTCATATTTTAAATGCAATTTCGAGAAGGATGAACAAAAGGTGTAACTGTCTGTCTGATTTAACCATTTCATGAAGTAAAAAGTCAACTTCAGGTGAATTCATGGGCCATGGTGGAATTTCTATCGTTCCAAATGACTGAATTTGGTTAACATCAATATTAGTGTTTTGTAAAAGAGCGGAAATTCGAATACCAAATGATGGAGTGGTTTTTGGTTTGCCTTGAAACAAGGTTTTATATTTTGGATCAAATAATGGGGAAAAAGTAAGATTTGAAGGATTTGACCTTAGCTGAATGGTGTAATGCAAAGCCAGTTTGTTTCGACGGCTATATAGTGATGGTTCGTTAGCCTCTACATAGAGGCTTGCTGTAGGTGTGGTCTTAAAAGCTCCAAGAACGAGCCTGAGACCTTGGTG